ACGTGAAGCTTATAATATTGCCTTCTTCTAATATACAGGTAGTCCTCGACTTACGACAAGCCACTTAGGGACCGTTCGAACTTACAGTTAGTCCTCGACTGACGACTCAAAATTTCCGTTCCCTAAGCAAATGAATTTTGCCTCATTTTATGACCTTTCTTGCTACGCTTGTTATCAGTTGTATCATTGTAGTTATTCTGTTAGTAACACGGCTGTTAAGTGAATCTGGCTTCCCCATTCTTGGCTGCCTAAACAGAAGGATAGAATCAAGATCACGTGAAGTGTTAATGCCACTTGATAAGGCCTTGGTAAGGCCACGCGCGGAAGACTGCATCAAATTTTGGACGCCACGATGTAAAAAAGATGTGGAGACTCCAGAAAGGGTACAGAAAAGAGCAACAAAGATGATTAGGGGACTGGAGGCTAAAACATATAGATAATAGAATTCTTTATTGGCCAAGTGGGATTGGACACACAAGGAATTTGTCTTAGGTGTATATGCTCTCAATGTACATAAGGGGAATAAAATACGGTTGCTGGAATTGGGTATGTCCAGTTTGATGAAAAGAAGGACTAGGAGTGACATGTGATCCAATATCTCAGGGGCGGCCACAAAGAAGAGGGAGTCAAGCTATTCTCCAAAGCACCTGAGGGCAGGACAAGAAGCAACGGGTGGAAACTAATCAAGGAGAGAAGCAACTTAGAACTAAGGAGAAATTTCCTGACAGTTAAAACAATTCATCAGTGGAACAACTTGCCTCCAGAAGTTCCGAATGCTCCAACGCTGGAAGTTTTTAAAGAATAGATTGGATAACCATTTGTCTGAAATGATATAGGGCCGTGATGGCGAACCTATGGCACGCATGCCACAGGTGGCACGCGGAGCCATATCGGTGGGCACATGAACATTGCCCTAGCTCAGCTCCAGCCGATTTTCGAGCCTTCCAGACCCACTGGAAGTCGGGAAACAGGCTGTTTCTGGCCCCCTGGGGGGGGGGAGAGGCCATTTTCACCCTCCCCAGGCTCCTAGAAATCCTCTGGACTCTGGGGAGAATGAAAAACGGGCCTTCTAGTCCCACTGGAAGTTGGGAATGGGCCATTTCTGGCCTTTTGGAGGGCCTTCAGGGGAGTGGGGAAGGCCGTTTTCGCCCTCCCCAGGCTCCAAGAAAGCCTCTGGAACCTGGGGAGGGCAAAAAAAAAGGCCTACCGTCCCATTGCGTGCCAAAAGCAGGGGGAGCGCGGGGTGGTGGTGTCGCACGTGCATGCACAGGGGGACGGGACACATTGAATTATGGGTGAGGGCACATGCGCATGCGACCCCCACCACACACACTCCCCACGCTTTTGGCACATGACGGCAAAAAGGTTAGCCATCACTGATACAGGGTTTCCTGCCTAAGCAGGGGTTTGACTAGAAGACCTCCAAGGTCCCTTCCTACTCTGCTGTTCTGTTCTGTTCTGTTCTGTTCTGTTCTGTTCTGTTCTGTTCTAGTCTAGTCTAGTCTAGTCTAGTCTAGTCTAGTATATTGGCTTTGCTTGTCAGAAGGTCGTAAAAGCTGATCGCGTAACCCCGGGACGCTTCAACCGTCATAAGTACGAAGCCATTGCCCTAGCCTCTGAATTTTGATCACATGACCAAGATGACGCTGCAACGGTTTGTTGCAAGTCTGAAAAACGATCCTAAGTCACAAAGTGCCATTGTAAATTTGAACAGTCACTAAACGAACTGTTGTAAGTCGAGGACTACCTGAACTGTGTTTCTAAATTGCTGGAGAGAAAAATGAACAGGAAAAAAAAACAACCCACATACACACATACATCTTGTTGGCACCTTACATATCTCGGAGAGCGCTTTTGCTTGGATTGATGCTTCATGGAGTTGCGTTTCTGTCGTTTTCCTTGGGGGCCAGTCAGTAATTTTTAGAATAGAATAGAATTTTTTTGTTGGCCAAGGAATTTGTCTTGGGGCATATGCTCTCAGTGTACATAAAAGAAAAGATACGTTCATCAAGAATCATAAGGTAATGATTTTTTAGAAAGCCTCAGGAAAACTGACTGTTCCTTCTCTTCTGCCTCACGTCTCCAAATCTCTGCTTTAGATCATTGAGGAATGCAACTCCGAGGTCGGCCGCATGCGTCATATGGAAGAACTGATTCACACGGCCAGCAAGATTGAGTTTGATAAGCTGAAGGTCAGAAGGGGTTTGGCTTGGGCCCGTCTTTGGCCTTGCTCTAGCCTGCCACAACTTATCCCTGTGGGCTTCCAAGAAGGCTTGGCATGAAGTGGAGAATTTAAGAGAAGATACAGCTGCCTGGGGTAGTGCATTTGGGAGGTGGCGCGGGGATATTTTTCCCTGGAAGGGATGCCTCAGATCACGCCAATTTGACAGGTATAACAAACAAGGTTTTTTCACATTAAAGACAAGCTCGCTATTAAAGGATTGTCTCCCTTGGCATACCCTCCCTAACCCAGTGTTTTGCAACCTTGGGGAGCCTTAAGACGTATCAGGGGTGAAAGGTAAAATTTGTTACTACCGGTTCTGTGGGCGTGGCTTGGTGGTGGTGGGGTAATGTGACTGGGTGGGCATGGCCAACTTTTTTTTTAAAAAAAAAACTTTTCAAAGCATTTTTTCCTACAACCTCTTCGGCTGAAGAAGTTGCAAAAAAAAATGCTTTGAAAAGCCTCTGCCGATCAGGCAACTCAGCTGGGATCGTCAGAGGCTTTTCAAAGCATTTTTTTTACCACCTCTTTGGCCGAAGAGGTTGCAGAAAAAAATGCTTTGAAAAGTCTCTGGCCATCCCAGCTGAGCCGCGTGATCATCAGAGGCTTTTTTTAAATTATTTTTAAAAGTATTTTTTCGGCGGAAGAGGTGGTAGAAAAAATGCTTTTAAAAATAATTTTAAAAAAGCCTCTGATGATTGGGCGGGGGTGGTGGTGTAGGGATTTTTGCTACTGGTTCTCCGAACCACCCGCCGCCATCACTACGGAACCGGGAGCATTTCACCCCTGAGATGTATGGATTTCAACTCAGTGGTGGGATTCAGCCGGTTTGGGCAAACCGGTAGTTAAATTGCTGGCTGGCAATTTCAGGAGTCCCCACGTGCCCCATTTTGGCTCCCAGGTAAGTGCAGGGAGGCTTACTAGGCACAAAACGGGGTACGGGGACTGCAGCGGGGCCCCCCCACAGCCCATTTTCGCTCCCAGGTGGCTGCAGGGAGGCCTACTAGGCCCAAAATGCGGTGCGGGGGTGTGGCGCGCCTCCCCGCAGCCCATTTTCACTCCCAGGAGGCTGCAGGGAGGCCTACTAGGCCCAAAATGGGGTGCGGGGGGTGTGGCACGGCCCCCCCACAGCCCATTTTCGCTCCCAGGTGGCTGCAGGGAGGCCTACTAGGCCCAAAATGGGGTGCGGGGTGTGTGGCGCGGCCCCCCGCAGCCCATTTTTGCTCCCAGGTGGCTGCAGGGAGGCCTACTAGGCCCAAAAACAGGTTACGGGAGTGCAGCGGGCCTCCCCCCCCACAGCCCATTTTTGCTCCCAGATGGCTGCAGGGAGGCCTACTAGGCCCAAAATGGGGTGCTGGGGGTGTGGCGCGCCTCCCCGCAGACCATTTTCACTCCCAGGAGGCTGCAGGGAGGCCTACTAGGCCCAAAATGGGGTGCGGGGTGTGTGGCGCGCTTCCCTGCAGCCATTTTCGCTCCCAGGTGGCTGCAGGAAGGCCTACTAGGCCCAAAATGGGGTGCGGGGTGTGTGGCGCGGCCCTCCGCAGCCCATTTTCGCTCCCAGGTGGCTGCAGGAAGGCCTACTAGGCCCAAAACGGGGTGCGGGGTGTGTGGCGCGGCCCCCCGCAGCCCATTTTTGCTCCCAGGTGGCTGCAGGGAGGCCTACTAGGCCCAAAACAGGTTACGGGGAGTGCAGCGGGCCTCCCCCCCACAGCCCATTTTTGCTCCCAGATGGCTGCAGGGAGGCCTACTAGGCCCAAAATGGGGTGCAGGGGGTGTGGCGCGCCTCCCCGCAGCCCATTTTCACTCCCAGGAGGCTGCAGTGAGGCCTACTAGGCCCAAAATAGGGTGCGGGGTGTGTGGTGCGCCTCCCCGCAGCCCATTTTCAATCCCAGGTGGCTGCAGGGAGGCCTACTAGGCCCAAAATGGGGTGCAGGGTGTGTGGCGCGGCCCCCCGCAGCCCATTTTCGCTCCCAGGTGGCTGCAGGGAGGACTACTAGGCCCAAAATGGGTGCGGGGGGTGTGGCACAGCCCCCCCACGACCCGTTTTTACTCCCACGGGGCTGCAGGAGGCCAAGTGCTGCCTGTCACACACTCTGGCCACACCCACCATGGCCACGCCCACCCGTCTGATCATTAGGGCAGAGAACTGGTTGTTAAATTATTTGTATCCCACTACTGCTTCAACTCCCAGAATTCCGCATTCCCAGAATTCTAGGAGTTGAAGTCCACAGGAAAAACGGCCTTAAATTAACTAGGGGGGAAAAAGCACTTCACGCATACAGATAAATACCCTCTGCAATCCCAAATGTAATAATTGGAAACTAAAGTTATACCCCCCAGAATATCTTTCGCTAAAGAGTAAGACGTGACTTGATGGCAAATAATCAATCAAATTAATCAATATCAACCAATACAATTCTCCGTTTCAACGACGCGTGGACTTCAGTGCCCAGAATTCCATAGCCAGCTACCACAAAGTTTCTCTATTTCAGCCATGTTCAGATGTGAGGACTTCAACTCCCAGAATTCCACAACCAGCAAAACTGGCTTGAGGAATTCTGGGAGTTGTAGTCCACCCATCTTCAAGTCCCCCCAAGGTTAAGAAACACTTAATCCCCTAATCTGGGAATTTGCTCAGAGAATCTTCGTTCTCCTTCCTTGCAAAAAAAAAATAAAAAAATCCAGGTGACTTCCAGGAACTTTTTCTAACGATTCTTTTTCCGGTTTAGGCCGTTCCCATCATTTCCCAGACCCGACAGCTGTTAAAGCAGGGAGAACTCCTGGAAGTTGTGCATCGTGGTACCATTTTTGGCAACAAGCCCAAACTGATCCCCATCTACCTGTTCCTCTTTAATGATCTATTGTTGGTCACTCAGCGCAAGAGGTGAGCCCAGAAGCCTAGACTGAAAATTCTGGCGACAGGACGATCAGTCTGCATTTAAAGGGGTGTATCTATAGAAGAGGCAGGAAGGAGTGGCGTGGTGGCCTAGAGATGGAGGTCTCGCCTCACAATCAGGAGGCTGTGAGTTCGATCCTAGGTAGAGGCAGATATTTCTCTCTCTGGGCACAATGAGAATATATCTGCTGAAGAAAACTCCGCACTGGCGACAGGAAGGGCATCCGGCCAGTAAGCGCTCCATTCGGTTGCCCAGACTCCCGCCCCTCAAGGGATTATGGGATTGTTAAATGATGATGATGATCTATAGAAAAAGGCAGGAGGAGGAGGGCAACCTTGACCTCTGCCCCCAAGGTCACGTTTTGAGGGGATGGAGAATTAGGGAGACAGCAAAGTTTGGGGCTATGGTTCTGCTTCTGCAAATTTGGCAAGTTTGAGAATGGAGCACGGCCTACTTTCCAAGCCTCGCGCTTCAAATCTTGAGGCCTAGAAACTTGCCAGTTTAAAAAAAAAAATCAGTGATGGATGCGGAAAGACTTCTACCTCTGGGGCAAAGTGTCAATCCATCTTACCTGGTGGAATGATTACAAGTGCCGTGGTGGCACAGTGGTTAGAATGCAGTATTGCAGTGATTCCGCCCACTGCCAGCAGTTCGATCCTGACTGGCTTAAGGTTGACTCAGCCTTCCATCCTTCCGAGGTCGATAAAAGGAGAACCTAGATTATTGGGGGGCAATATGCTGACTCTATTAACCGCTTCGAGAGGGCTGTAATCAAGGGTGGGCTGCTGGGGTTTGGGAGAACCTCTAGCTAAGATTCTGTGCAGTTTGGAGAACCCCCAAATCCCACTCTTGTCTGGCCCCTCCCACCTTGCCCCTCCCCTCCCAGGAGTCCCTGGGTGGCCTGTTTTCGATGCAGGTAAGTGCAGGGTGTGTGTGGAGGCTCGGGGTGGGCGAAAAATGGGCCTACTGGAAGTTTGGGAAGGCCGGAAACGGGCCCGTTTCTGGCCTCCGGAGCCTGGGGAGGCCATTTTCACCCTCCCAGAGGCTCAAGGAAAGCCTCCGGAGCCCGGGGAGGGCAAAAACGCCCCCCTCCCCGCCGTGGTGCAGGAGGCCAACTAGCCCACGCCCACCATGGCCACGCCCACTCAGCAACCGGGCAGAGAAACCCTTGCTAAAATTTTTGAAGCCCACCCCGGCTGTAATAAAGCACTATGAAGTGATATATAAGTCTTAAGTGCTATTGCTATTGCCCCCAGTTTCTCTCCCTACTCCTAGATCAGAACCGTAGCGATCTAAAACAGATTCCTCTGGTTGGGGAGCTTCCAGATCTGTTCATCTGCAGGTCCTAGGCCAGGGGTCAGCAACCTGGGGCTCTGGAGCTGCGTGTGGCTCTTTCACCCCTCTGCTGCGGCTCCCTGTCACTCAAAATATGCGTCGCAACCGCCAATGTGCGACACCCACTGGCGTGCGATTTATTGACCTTTTCAACCCCCGGTAGGCCAACCATGGATAAATCCAAGAAAAGAAAAGTTTCAGAAGAAAACAGAACATTTAATTCAACTGTCAGATTTCGATGCTATCTCAAAATAAATGAATTTCCAAACTGCCAATCTTTAAGGAAATTTTCTCTTTATTCGAGTACAGCAACCGGATCATGGCTCATGCGGTCAGGACTGACCTTTGCCCCCCAATCCCTCCCTTTCCGATCCCCAATTCTCTGCTTCTCATTGGTTATCTTCCAAGTCACTTTACTGACTTCTTGTCTCGTCATTTCACAGGAATGTCCCCCCTCCCTTCATTTCCACGACGACCCAGCTTCAAAGGGATTTAGCAGGCAAAAGTTCAGGGCTTAAATCTCTCCTCTCTATGCCAGCGGTGAGACGCTGACATCAACTACATATGCTAGTTTTGTGGCCACTCAAGAAATAGTCAGGCACGGGAAGGGTTTTGTGGCTCCCGGTGTTTTCTTTTCTGTGGGAAACGGGTCCAAATGTCTCTTTGAGTGTTTAGGTTGCAGACCACTGTCCTAGGCAGTGGTGAAATCCTCCACAGTTTGCCTACTGGTTCGCTGCATGCACGATGCGTGCTAAACATGCACTGCTCGCACAGATGTGCAGTGCATGCCAAACGCCCACTGCATGCACACGCATGCACAGGGCACACCAAACGCACATTGCATGCGCGCACATGCTCAGTGCGCACAAAACACAAAACATTTGGTGAACACTGCATGTGTATGTGCAGTGTGTACCAAATGCATGCGCAGTACACCCCAAATGTGTGCTTCGCACGGAAAAAGGACGCTTAACAAGGTAAGTAGAACAGCGAGGGGCAGGGAACAGCTCTGCCGTGCTATTTAGATTCACTAGAAAGCAGGATTTCCTGCTTTCTAGTGAATACAAATCACGCATCACAGCTGATTGTCGGAAATACTGATTCGGAACAACCTATAGCTTTTTTTTTACTACCAGTTCGGCGAAGTAGTAGATTTTATCACTACCGGTTCTCCCGAACCGGTGCAAACCGGTAGGATTTCACCACTGGTCCTAGGTCTCCACGGTGGTTGATGTTGATCCCATTTGCAGGCCCACTGAACTGGGAAACAGCCGTTGGGGGGAATCAGCTGCTGCCAGCCACACTTCTTCGAAAGCAACTGAGCTGGGATTCACTAATATGTATTCTTTGCTTCCATTTCGGATCTCCTCCTGCAGCTCAGAACGCTTTGTGGTGCTGGATTATGCCCATCGCTCGCTAGTCCAAGCCCAGAGTTGCGAGGATACTACCGCCGGCCAAAACGCCGAGAACAGCTTCTACCTGACATTGATGGAGAACCACCAAGGGCGGAGTACCGAACGCCTCTGTCGTGCCCCGACACAGTGAGTAGCCACATAGGGCAGGGGTGGGCAAATATGGCCCTTTTACAACCTGTGGACTTCAACTCCCAGAATTCCTGAGAAAGCTGTCTCAGGAATTCTGGGAGTTGAAGTCCACAGGTTGTAAAAGGGTCACATTTGCCCATCCCTGGCATAGGGGGTGAAGAAAGTTAGCAAAGATGGTAGTAACTGCACCCCATTTATAAATAGAAAGGAGAAGCGATCAGAGCAGCCTGCTTTTTCCAGAAGGCTAGAGCATGAGATCTAGATCTAGAAGTGACTACGGAGATTCTCAGTCATCCAGGTCATATTTCTCCCAAAGGTGCTTTTTTACCCCAAGAAGCAACTGGACTTCCTTGGTTTTTCTTTGAAGATGTTTTGCTTCTCATCCAAGAAGCTTCTTCAGCTCTGACTGCATGTCTCAGGCCTGGAATCCATCTTGGGCTTTGAATCTTCAGGCCTGCCACATTTAGTGCTGTGGGAAACTGGGAGGGAGGATTGTAGGGAGCCAGGGAGATATATAATCATAATAACATTCCTTTCTCCGAGAGTCAAGGTCACTCTGCCCTGCGCCTGGAGGGGTGTGGCTGAGAGGCTTCTCCAGTTGGGATGGTGCATGGTTTGGACCCTGTGATGGACACGCGGGTGCAGGGGAAGGGACTTGGACTTTCTTTTGGGTGGGGAAAACCTGGAAGCTTTCAGATTCGGGTTTTTCCAGATGTGCCAATATGACATCTCTAATAAAATGGAACTTTGAGGAATGCCTAGCCTCGGAGTCTTCTTTCGTTGGGGGTGTTACTTGGAACCCTGAGAATGGAAGGATTTATATTCCTTGCAAGCAGCAGGTCATTTGCATTCTTTTAAAGCAGCGGTGTCAAACTCAAGATCTGCGGACCAGATTTGGCCCGCGGGGTGCTTAAATTTGGACCGTGAGGCCCGTCTGGAAATAGCAAAGGACTGGCCCACAGTGCCTCTGGCAGCCAAAACAGGGCAGGGGCAGCCACGTGTGCCCCATCCGTGCCCTACTTTCGGCCTGGACAGCCTCCTGCAGCACTCTGCCAGCCAAAACGGGGCACGGGGTGGCCTATGCGGCCCCTTCGTGTACCCCGTTTTGGCTGGCAGGGGACTGCAGGAGGCATCTGTCTTGTAGGATGCAGATGACCAGCTATCTGCAAGGAGTATAAATCCTTCCATTCCCCACTATCCTGTTAGAGCTGAAGAAGCTTCTTGGATGAGAAGCAAAACACTTTCAAAGAAAAACCAGAAAGTCCAGGTTTTTTTTTTTTTAATTTGATTTATATGCCGCCCTTCTCCGGAGACTCAGGGCGGCTTACAATGTGCTAAACAATAGCCTTCATCCTTTTTTGTATATTTATACAAAGTCAGCTTATTGCCCCCACAACTGGGTCCTCAATTTACCTACCTTAGAAAGGATGGAAGGCTGAGTCAACCTTGAGCCTTGGCAAGATTCAAACCTGCAGTAATTGCAGGCAGCTGGTCTTAATAACAGGGTGCTTTAGACCACTGTACTACAAGGCTCTTGAAAAAGCACCTTTGGGATAGATCTAGATGTACGGGTAGCTTTCAATTTATGATCCTTATGGAGGCTGGAATTTCCCTCATAAGTTGAGGCAGCCACATGACAAGACTCAATTGTATTTATTTATTTATTAGTTCGATTTATATGCCGCCCTTCTCCGGAGACTCAGGGCGGCTTACAATGCGTTAAGCAATAGCCTTCATACTCTTGTATATACCTGCTTAGTAGGGCTTTTTGGCCCCCCCAAGCGGTGTTCTATTTTATACAAAGTCAGCTTATTGCCCCCACAAACCAGGTCCTCATTTTACTTACCTCGGAAGGATGGAAGGCTGAGTCAACCTTGATTAAAATTGAGTCAATTTTAATGTTTATTTTTTTTTGTGCCGTGAATGCTAAGAGAGTGCCCCAGTTGTTAAGTCAACTTACGACCATAACGGAGTCTGTCCATTGTGGTTTTAAGTTGTGGCGGTCGTTAAATGAATCAACGTTTTCCTAAGGGTGCGGGAGATATTACTGGTGCCGTGGTGGTGCAGTGGTTAGAATGCAATATTGCAGGTTGACTCCGCCCACTGCCAGCAGTTCGATTCTGACCACCAGCTCAAGGTTGACTCAGCCTTCCATCCATTTGGTGAAATCAGGACCCAGATTGTTGGAGGCAATAGGCTGACTCTGTAAACCGTTTAGAGAGGGCTGTAAAACACGGGGAACCGGTATATAAATCCAAGTGCTGTTGTGGTTGCTATTTCTATTGCTAGTGATCGGCAGAGATTCTGGGGTTTGTTTCCGATGACCGTTTTGGTTTTTTTAAATGCTTTGTTGAACATTGTTCTTTGGTTTGTTTACAATGAATGCATTATTACCCGTTCAGCTGCATCTGGACATCCAGGTGGGTGGGTGAATGAAAGAAAGAAAAAGAAAGAAAGAAGGAAGGAAGGAAGGAAGGAAGGAAGGAAGGAAAGAGAGAAAGAAAGAAAGAAAGAAAGAAAGAAAGAAAGAAAGAAAGAAAGAAGGACCCAAACAATATATCTCCAAAATTGTTTCTTCCAGATCCGATATGCACCGCTGGATGGGTGCTTTCCCATGCCATGAGTCCCAGTCTAATAACAAACAGGAAACAATCTATGAAGATTGGGGTAAGACTTTTTTGCTGCCTTCCTTTTAAACCTCCCCCCACCCCTTCCTGTTCAAAGGCTAGGAAAATTGAGGAACATCACATTCCTGTCCCACGGCTTCTGGATCTGTCAGCGGTTTCTTCCACTTCGCGCTGGGCAGGGTAAAATAGCCATGATGGAAACACACAGCTTTGAAACAGACTGAAGGCTGCAGGCTAGAGATAACAGAAGAGCAATAAATTTGATTAAGGGACTGGAGAATAAAACATACGAAGAACGGTTGCAGGAATTGTGCATGTCTTAGTTCCATCAAAAGAAGGACTAGGGCCGTGATGGCGAACCTATGGCACGCGTGCCACAGGTGACACATGTAGCCATAACAATGGGCACGCGAACTCAGCTCCGGTGTGCATGTGCGCACCGGCCAGCTGATTTTCGGACCGTTTGGGCCCACCAGAAGTAGGGAAGCAGGTTGTTTCCTGCCTCCAGAGGGCCTCGGGGTGGTGGTGGGGAAGGCTGTTTTCACCCTCCCCAGACTCCTAGAGAGGCTTTGGAGCCAGGTGAGAGAGAAAAATCTATCAGGCCATCGCGTGCCAGACGGGGGGGGGGTTATGCGTGTGGGGGCGGGGCGCATAGTATTATGGGTGTGGCCACGTGGACGTGCACCCCCTTACCTTCCCTCCTCCCGGCACACGATGGTAAAAAGATTAGTCATCACTGGACTGGGGGTGACATGATAGCAGTGTTCCAACATCTCAGGGGTTGCCACAAAGAAGAGGGGGTCAAGCTATTCTCCAAAGCACTTGAAGGCAGGACAAGAAGCAACGGAAGGAAACCAATCAAGGAGAGAACCAACCTTAAATTAAGAAGAAATTTCCTGACACCGAGAACAACGAATCAGTGGGGAAAACCCGCCGCCAGAAGTCGTGGGTGCTCCAACACTGGAGGTTTTTAAGAAGTGACTGGACCACCATTTGTCTGAAATGGTATAGGATTTCCTGCTTGAGCAGGGGGTTGGACTAGAAGACCTCCGAGGTCCCTTCCAACTCTGTTGTTCTGAGTTTCGGTGCATGCTGCATGTTACAGAAAAAGTGGGATATAAATTTACCCCCATGTTTTTGTTGAGGGTAAAACTGCCCTCTGCAAAGTGGTACAACGGACCAGACAGCGAATAGATACGTTGCTTAGCAAAACACACAGATACTCACAGACTCTGAACGTTTAAAGAAAAATAAACTTGGCTTCTCAAAACAAAGATAACACTTCTTCAAATAATCACGGTTCAACACAAAAACATAAGTTTGCTTACAGTTCCAGTTCTCTTCAGTAACACAGACACAGTTCCTTTCAGCAGTTCAACCTTCTAATAGCAGGAGCAGAAGTGAATGAACTTCCTGCCTTCTTTTATGTCTGCTTAGCACAGCCAATTAGTCATCTTGTAGCAGTTAAAGTTACAGAACATAGTTTTCTATATATTATCTACCCAACCGTAGGATAAGCATCCAACAGTTTTCCCGAAAATAAGACCCTGTCTTATATATTTCTGCCACCAAAAATGGCACTAGGTCTTATTTTCGGGGTGGGGTGGGAATGTCATCCACTGGCTCACTTCACTTGCACGTATCGCCCCCGGCCTCCTTTTCACTGTCAGAAGCTTTCTGGAACTTCTTCTGCAGCCGGTAAGGCTTTGCTGAAGGCCTCTGCAGCCGATAACAGAGCTCCAGATCGATCTGGAGCTCTGGTATCAGCTGCAGAGGCCTTCAGCAAAGCCTTAATGGCTGCAGAAGCAATGGGCCGGCAAGGCAGGTTCTGGGGTGTGCGAGGCCTGGCTGCAACTGTCCAAAGGTAAGTAGTAGGGAAGCTCCATCCATTCACCCTCACCCTAGCTTAATTTTTACCTGTTCACCCTGGAGTGGACGTGGTTTTAATTAGGGCTTATTTTGGGGGGTAGGGCTTGATGTCAGCGTTGCAACGCTGCCATAGAGAGAGCAGAGGACAGCGAAAGATAAACTCTGAAACTTTTGCCTGCAAAATCCCTTTGAAGCTTGGTTGTCGTGGAGATCAGGGGAGGGGGCACATTCCTGAGAAATGACGGGGAAAAGAAGTCTGAAGAATGACTTGGAAGACAACCAATGAGAAGCAGAGTCTTGGGGGTCGGAAAGGGAGGGATTGGGAGGCAAAAGGTCAGACTTGTCCACGCGGAGTCATGATCCGGTGGCTGAGCTCAATTAAAGAAAGATTTCCTTCCGCATGTTTAAAAATCAAACTAGGACTTACTTTCAGGGTAGTTTGTATTTTCGGGGAAACTCAGTAATAACTACATAAGGGGCCAGGAAATTTGTTCCCTGCCACCACAGACAGTTGATAACCTTTCCTACATTGTCCGTCCTTCCCTCTTTTGATTATTATTGTTTTCGTAAGAAATAATTGCTTCAGTTGTTTGTTTGTTTTTCCTCCATCGTTTCCGCAGATTGTCCCCAGGTTCAGTGCACGGAGACCTACAGCGCAGCCCAGGCAGACGAGCTGAGCCTCGAACCGACGGACATCGTCAACGTGGTGCGCAAAACCGAGGGTGAGCCTGGGGGATGCGACCCTCCCGAACCGTTGTGACCAAATTGCGGTTTCTTCCTCTTCTTTCTCGGAACGATGTAGAAATTGGAGCCTGGGTCTGTGGGGCTTCCTAACCCAAAGATGGTGTTTTTTTAGCAGAGTTGTCCGCTAAAGGATTCTCTTCCGATCCTTCAAGGTCCTTTCGGTGACTGCGGCAGCTTCCCAAATTCTCAGCCAGCTGGAAGCTAAAGTCCCCAACACAAAGAGAGGGTATCCTTGAAGACAATTGCCCTCCACCGTTTAGAACACTGGCCGTCCCGAAGGTGTTAATGCTGTGGTGCTCCAGCGGCATTTGAAAGGGAGACCACCAGGTGATCCCAGGCTAGGCTGTAAGCATCTGAGGAAAAAGCGATAGCAAATCACTTCTGAGAACTGCAGGGCTGTCTGTATTGTTCCCTTGAACTTTAATCTCACATACTGTGTAATATTGGGTAATAATCGGTCTAGAGCAGTGATGGCTTAGCTTTTTGTCATCATGTGCCGAAAGTGCACCCACACGACAGCACACATGTGTGCCTGCACCCATAATCCAAGGTGTGTGCAACCCTCCCCCCCGTGCATGCCTGTGCAACCCCCCACGCATGCGCGCACAGCCCCTTTGCCCCATTTTGGGCCTAGCAGGCCTCCCTGCAGCCTCCTGGGACCAAAAACAGGCCATGGGGGGTGTCCCGCGGTCCAGTTTTGGTCCCAGGAGGCTGCAGGGAGGCCTGCTAGGCCCAAAACGGGCTGTTGGGGGTGCCCTGAGCACCCCCTGCCCCGTGTATGCGACGCAATCCCCGTTCCCCTGGGCATCCATGCGCGACTCCCCCAGGCATGCGCACACATCTCCCGCATGTACCCCACCCCCCATGCATGCGCGGCAGAGACCCGAAAACCAGCTGGCTGGCGGGAGGTACGCACACATCCAGGGTGGAGCTGAGCTGGGCGAAGGCTTGTGTGCCCGCAGAGAGTCCTCCATGTGCCACCTGTGGCCCGCCTGCCATAGGTTCACCATCACGGGTCTAGAGCAGCAACCCCCAATCTTCTGGGCACCAGGGACCGTTTCTGTGGAGAGAGGTTTTTCCGTGGACCAGATAAGGCGTGGTTTCACATGCTGCTTGCATCTCATGGATGGGGTTCACTTGTTTGTGCAGCCCAGATTCTGGCATGCTGTGGTCTGGTGCCAGGCCACAGACCGGGGATTGGGGACCCCTGGTCTAGAGTCTTAGAGCTACCCCCAACTTCCCAGCTGTAAGCTATCCACCTCAGCACAGAATCCTCCTTTATGGATTACTAGCTGGACACTCGTGCTTCGCTACAAAACTATGTGATCGGGCATGATAAAATGACAGTTAAAGCCTGAAACTTACTGTAGACTGTGTAACTCTGTAGCATCAGAATGTGTTAATATAAGGCAATTGGCAGTTGGAACAGAGGGGGAGGGGGAGTAGAATACCCCAGCCCATAGGCCAGATGAAGGGGTGCCTGGTTTAGCGAAGGGGTAGCAGCAGAGCGCGTTAATATAAGGCAACTGGCAGTTGGGACAGAATTCTTTTCAGATGGGAAGTGGGAGTAGAATGTCTAGCTCCTTAGCATCAGAGTGTGTTAATATAAGGCAACTGGCAGTTGGGACAGAGTTCTTTTCAGATGGGGAGTGGGAGTAGAATGTCTAGCTCCTTAGCATCAGAGTGTGTTAATATAAGGCAACTGGCAGTTGGGACAGAGTTCTTTTCAGGTGGGGAGGGGGAGTAGAATGTCTAGCATCGGAGCATGCAGTTTTCATACTGTATATGAAATATTAATGATCTGATGGTCATTTTGAAAAATCCTTTCTTAGCAAGCACTTAGAAGCCAAGAGGAACATACATGCCAAATTTCAAGTTTGTAGGCTTTACAGTTCTGGCGAGAGCTTCTGCCTTTTAATAATGTTTGTGAGTCACAAAAGATGCAAGTAGACTCCTAGGGGTTTTTGGGGGGTCCTCCCCAGACCCGTGTTTGTCAGTCTTGGCAACTTTTTAAGATGTGTGGACTTCAACTCCCAGAATTCCTTTCAGCCAAGGGTGAGAAACATTTAACATAGACTCGCCTGAGTTTTGATCATGGGAACATGGGAACGCGGCAACGGTTGTAAGCGTGGGAAATGGTCATAGAGCAATTTGCTTTTTTCAATGCTGTTATTAACTTTTGAAGAGTTACTAAATGAATGGTTGTAAATTGAGGACGAACGGGATGAGGGCGGGAACTGATTCAGCAGGAATGTGCTTGTTGGGAGTTTCACAAAGTGACAGGACAGTCTCCCGATAAATTTTGAGGCAACGAAAAGGGTTTCAGAGGTCTTGATCTTTTCCTTTTTTTTTTTTTTTGTCCTCTCCTCTGTTTTCTGTCTACCTCTCATCTCCTCTCCTCTCTCCTTTTTTCGGTCTTCTTCTCCTCTCTTTTCTCTATTCCTCTCCTCTTTGCTGCCTCCTCTCCTCTCTCCTCTTACCTTTCTCTCCCTTTTTCTGTCTTCCTCTCCGCTCTTATCTTTCTCTCTTATCTGTCTTCTCTCCTCTCCTTTTGACTTCCTCTCCTCTCCCTTCCCTCCCGTCTTCCTCCTCTCCTGTCTTCCCCTCCACACCTCCCCTCCTGTCTTCCTCTCCCCTTCTCTCGTCTTCCTCTTCCCTCCCCTATCTTCCCCTCCTGTCTTCTCTCCTCTCCTGTCTTCCCCTCCCCGCCTCGTCTTCCTCTCCTCTCCTCTCCACCCCTCCCCTCCTGTCTTCCCCTCCCCTCTTCGATCTTCCTCTCCTGTCTTCCCCTCCCCTCATCTTCCTCTCCTCTTCTGTCTTTCCCTCCACTCCTCCCATGTTCCCCTCCCCTTCTCTTGTCTTCCTCTCCCCTCCCCCTCCTCTCTTCCATCTTTCCCTCACCTGTCTCCTCACCTGTCCTATCTTCCCCTCCCCTCTTCTCTTCTGTCTTCCTCTCCTCTCCCCCATTCTACAGGCTGGTACGAGGGCATACGCCTAGCCGACGGCAAGAAGGGCTGGTTCCCCTCTTGCTACGTGCAGGAGATCACGAACGAACATGTGCGCCGCCGCAACCTCCGCGAGCGTTACCGTGTCCTCCAGGTGGCCCGCCAACTACAGCTGATGCGCACCAATTGCGTCAAAAGCAAGTACAGCTCAGCCTGAGACCGAAAACCACATGGCCAGCTGAGCCAGTGACCCCGGCCTACGATCAATCTCACGGCTGGACTCGAGGTTCGAGTTCAATTTCGCTGGGCGTGGAGCGGCATTTGCCTCAAGGGGGCGCCGAAGATGAGAAGGACAGTGGAACAGCAGTTGTGTTTTGGATCAAAAGCCACTGAAGGGCGGGGGAGAGCGGAAGAGAGATACAAGCATGCCCGATTGACTGTCCGGAGCTGCAATGCCAAAAGCTAGCCAGCAGAGGCACTATTTCGAATGTGTCCTTTCCGCCACAAGGGGGCGTTTTTAGACTGCATTTTCAGTTGCATCGCCGAGTTTACAGACTTCGCAACGTCCCGTTTCTTACCGTTCCCAAGTTGCGTCCTAACTCCTCTTGAGTCTGCGTGGCCTCTCGGTAGCCCTGAGCTAGGACCACGAACCTTTCTCAGAGGATGGTGGGGGGGGAGAAGAGGTGACCCCCCCCCATCCCCATCTTCTACCTTAAGATAGCGATGATGCCGTATTTCAGGAGATTCCCTTGATCCGAGATTACGATCAAATGGATGGCCTCGGGTTTTCACCAGAAGGGTCAGTTCAACCTGAGCAGGAGTTCTACCTGCCCGCCCACCGCCCGCCCCCCCCCATTTTGTAATCACTTATCCACCACCTGTAAAAAAAAAATACCCGTTCACGATTCAGGCCTACCACCCCGTAGCCTTGCTTTGGGCTCGTTGCAGGCTGGTTTGTATTTCACCGGTTGTCAGACGGGTGCGCCTTGCCTTTCATCGGCAGAACTCTGGTAGACAGAACGCACTCTCCCCCCACCCCACCCCGCCAATAAAATGTATTTTGCAAACAGGATCTACACCGGTATAACCAGTTTCCTAATCCTGATCTCGGTGCTGTCGCTGCCAATACTTCAAACCTTCCCGATGGTCCTTAACCTGGGCTCAGGCGATGTCCCACCTCTACCTCAGTTCCTGTCCTTTCCGATGTCAGGAACCCGGGACTCTTACAGCCTGTGGACCCAGTTAAATTCTAACTCTTCCCCACACCGTCAACAGTTCAACAGATCTTTCTCCTTCATGCTAACCTGCCTGAATATCCTGGATTTTCTCCTTTGCGAAAGAGGAATTCTTGCTCCTCATTTCCAGGCTGGAAACCTCAACCACGGACCGGCTTGTATTTATTAATGTGCTGCTCTCTTTAGCTCTCGAGCTGGAAGAATTTTGGCTTGGGGGAGGGGGGGAGCGGGAAGCAGAGATTGTATTTTAATTTATTCTGTGCCATATTTGCTTGCGCTGTGACCTCTCTTGTGTTTTTCTATCCCAAATGGCTTTTTTAAAAAAAAATAAAATAAATAATAATAATTGAGGAACAAAAATGTACCAGTGCTTGCTTTCAGTTTTTGCTTCTCCCTACTAAATACAAGCAGACGGTGGCTCAGTGGTTAAGAGGCTGAGATTTTGTCGACCGAAAGATCGGCAGTTCAGCGGTTCGAATCCCTAGTGCTGCGTAAACAGGGTGAGCTCCCGTTACTTGTCCCGGCTTCTGCCAACCTAGCAGTTCGAAAGCACGTAAAAAATACAAGTAGAAAAAAATAGGGACCACTTTTGGTGGGAAGGGAACAGAGTTCCGTGCACCTTTGGCATTTAGTCATGCCGGCCACATGACCACGGAGACGTCTTTGGACAGCGCTGGCTTCTTCGGCTTTGAAACGGAGATGAGCACCGCCCCCTAGAGTCAGGAATGACTAGCACATGTGTGAGGGGAACCTTTACTTTTACCTTTACCTTACTAAATACAAGAGTCTCTTAATGTTGTGGCCTGTCGGCCGCTGGCCCCTCCAGCAGCCAAATCAGATGAGGAGGCGGAGTGGGAATCGGGGCCAGCATCAAGGCAATCTGAGTTCCGACAGGGAAGAGGGAATGGAGCTGTTGAAGAGGTGGAGCCTGGGCCATCCGTCAGCCCTCAGATGGAGAGTTAACAGCCCCCAGGTCTGGAGGTGGCTGATGAGGAAGAGGAGGAACAGCTGGGTCCAGTGCCTAACGTGCAGATGCGCAGAATGGAGAGGAGAGCAGCGGGAAGCTATGGGCCAGTCCTCGGGACAGAAGAGCCACCACTGCTAGCTAAACCCCACCTTACGTCTGGGGATAAAAGGCAGGAGGCGGAGACGAATAGGTGTGGCAGACAACTATTCGTCCCCCTGACAGTTAGCCACTGATAGTCCAAACTTCTGAATCCTGTCTGGAGCTGTATTGGAATTCTTTCTGGGAATCTGCGATGCTGAGAGTAGGGCGTACCTTCGGAGCGTGTGTGTATGTGTGTCTCCGCTGCTGGAAAAAGAGCGGGTGCACCTTCCAGGACTTCCGTTACGAGTGTGGTGAAACAGAGACTCCTGGGGCATTGGGAATCAGTTCAGGAGGAAAGGGAGCGAGCTTTGCTTTCCACAGGCACTTGAAGACTTTGTTAGCCTTCTCTCTCTCTCTCTCTGTCTCTGTGTGTGTGTGTGTGTGTGTCAACTTGCAAAGCTTTCAAGTTGCCATGAGCAGGAGGGAGAGCTGATAGAGCTGACTGATTTCCCTAACTGAAGTGCATTCCATACATTCTTCCTGACTGCAATCAGGAGGGTGTTGGATTTCACAGCCAGCCAAAGTGGTTAATTGGAGAATGTGATTTATGACATGGCCAGAGAGGAGGGGAGAGACAGGGTCATAGGGGAACGTAAATCTACGTGGGATTAGTTCTAACTGCATCCGAATATTGCCGAAATGGTGCTCCTAATAAATGACTGTATTTCTTTTGAAGTTCGGCTCATGGCTCATGAATTAATTAGGGCATCTTTCGGAAACTTCACAGTGTGTGTGTGAGAGAGAGTCTTTACCGGGTTTGCTGGCGTTCCTATCAAAGGGAGCGTTTAGTTAAAAACAGTGTGCTTGTCGAGTTTGGAAGCCGGGTCAGAACACTTAATGCCAAGGCAGGATATTTGCCCAAAATAGCAAATTCCCCAAACTAGAATAGTTCCCTTCGACAACCCACAAAACCAAAAGAGAACATGTCACCAGTCGGATTAATAGATTGTACAAACTAGGCTTTTGACCTTAAATGGGAACCTTTCCAGCTTCAAAACTCAGCTGGAGCACATGAGCCTGACATCGGAGACATCCTAATATTACGGCTCGGCATTGCGTTTCAAGTCTGCAACTGGAGATAAGAATAGAGGCCTCTGTGTGAAAATCACTTCTCTGAGCTGAAGCTCGGCTCCTGTTGGCTGGTGCTGAAAGGAGTATTATTCGACTTGCCTCGGCGGGGACGGCTCTGAAAACTGACGGCTCAGTTTTCCAGTTGCAGAAACAAGAAGGGATTTAGCTGGTTCCAGAAGGAAACATCAGTGATGCGTCTACGGAATGGCTGGGCTGGTTTTCTTCCCATCGGAAAGTTAAGAATTTCCAAATCGATTACAATCCCTGGCTCGGGATGCTGGAAGGCAAACCGATCCCTTATTTTAGTTCGGTATTTTGTCAACCTCTGCAGGTTTAGGATGCATGGACTTCGACTCCCAGAATTCTAGGAATTGAGATCCACGCATTTTAAACCGGCCAAAGGTTGACAACACTGCAGAGGTGGGTTTCAGCAGGTTCTGACCGGTTCTGGAGAACCGGTAGCAGAAATTTTGAGTAGTTTGGAGAACCGGTAGGAAAAATTCTGATTGGCCCTGCCCCCATCTATTCTCTGCCTTCCAAGCCCCAGCTGATCGGGAAGAAATGAGGATTTTGCAGTAACCTTCTCCTGGATTGCGGAGAGAATGGAGATTTTATAGTATCCTTCCCCTGCCACGCCCACCAAGCCACACCCACAGAACGGGTAGTAAAAAAAATTTGAAACCCACCACTGCTACACTTGTTTAGTTCATGCCTGGCACCCTTGTATCATTAAGGTAAAGGATCCCCCACATAGGCATGCTAGTCGTTCTCAACTCTAGGGGGCGGTGATCATCTCCATTTCTACAATGAGCCAGCGCTGTCCGAAGACATCTCCGCTGTCGTGGTCGGCATGACTAAACGCTGAAGGCGCACGGAGCGCTGTTACCTTCCCACCAAAGTGGTCCCTATTTTTCTACTTGCATTTTTTTACGTGTTTTTGAACTGCTAGGTTGGCAGAAGCTGGGACAAGTAACGGGAGCTCACCCCGTTACGCGGCGCTAGGGATTTGAACCGCTGAATTGCCGACCTTCTGATCGAGAAGCTCGGCGTCAACCACTGAGCCACCGCGTCCCTCTTGTATCATTACGAACATCTAAAAACTTTAGCTTACAGAAGTACTGTTTTCCAAGACCCTGTCTTAGATTTTTTTTTGCCATCAAAAAAGGCACCAGGACTTATTTTCGGAGGGGATGTTGTTTATTGACTCACCTCACTTGCGTGCATTGTCCCCGGCCTCCTTTTCACTGTCAGAGGCCTTCAGGAACTTCTTCGGCCGGCAAGACTTTCCTGAAGGCCTTTGCAGCCGATAACAGAGTTCCAGATTGATCTGGAACTCCGTTATCGGCTACAGAGGACTTCAGGAAAGCCTTGTCGGCTGAAGAAGAAATGGGCCGAGGTGTGCAAGGCCTGGCTGCAACTATCCGAAGATAAGTAGTACGACAGCTCCACACACACACCATTCCCACACTAGCTTAATTTTTACCCGTGCAGATGAGGTCTTAATTAGGGCTTATTTTGGGGGTAGGGCTTATATTGGGTGCATATTAAAAAATCAAGCTTGGACTTACTTTCTGAGTAGGTCATATTTTCGGGGTAAGATGATAGATGCAAGCTGAGTGTCAGGAAGGATGAAGTATAGCCAGCGGAACTGTTAACCAGCGGAACAGACAGCCACATGAGATAGCTACCCTGTTTCTAATAAGCCCAATGGGCTTTTGAGCACATGTGCTAAAATAAGCCCCCTCCAAAAATAAGTCCTCCCCGAAAATATTTAAACGCATACGCAGCTGGTCCCCGCCATTTCCTTTGGTTAGGGTTAGGGAGACAGAGCTGGAAATCAGGTAAGACAGCAAGAGGAGCTCCCATCTTGCTCTACATGCCCCAAAGTAATAAGACATCCCCGAAAATGAGGCCAAGCACTTATTTCCAGGCTCAAAAAAATATAAGACAGGGTCTTATTTCTGGGGAAACATGGTAGTCTTCACTAAAGATCTTCAAAGAATAGACCGTCTCCTGCTAGACACATTCCAGTGGATTCTTCCCTGAGTAGCTGACCTCCTAAAAGTCTCTTCCAATGATTCTGACTAACCAAAAGGCCTTTAGCCAAACAGCACGCCCGCAGCCCGGGTTGCAAAATTCCCATGTCTCCCCTTTTCTCGAGTGAAGCTGAGCACACTTGCCTCTTTTAAAACAGAGCTTTATTTAGTGTGCTGCTGTCCGACAGGAAATAATTTAAAGCACGCTTCGTATGGGGACACGGCTAGCACACTGCCGCCCCCTCCGTCCGCACGGACCCGACAGCCCACGGCGTACAGTGTTGCGAGAGGCTACGCAAAGCTGCGAGCTCCCACAAGAGAGCTTCAAATCTCGAGGAATGGAATGAAGCCATCTCAGACGAGGGTCTCTTAGCTATCGAATAGATACAAGTCATCCTTTGTGGAGCGTGATGACGGAAAGACTTTTAGCCCTGGGATTGTGTCCAGCATTGAAAAATAAGATGTGAGTAATGTCTCTGCTCCCATTACAGTGCTTAACATTCCTAGGAATTTGAAAATGCATTGAGAGCGTTTTTTGGGGTGGGGCTGATTTGTAACTGTAGTTAGCCTCCCATGTCCTCCTCCATCCCTCTTTCCAGCCCAACTAAACCGAGAGGCATGCCTATAGAAAAGACTTGTCTCTCTCTCTCTCCCCAGCATCAGGAGTGAAGAAAAACCAATTACATCTGTCCGTTGTCTTCTATCTTCATTCCTCGGACTTCCTGGAGTTGCTTTTTGTAAACCAAGAAAGAAGCCTCCCAGGACACCACTTCCAGCCCCGTCCCGATCCTCTCCATGCATGGGAGTTGGGTTGACGCACCCTTATGGTTTCACCAGCAACCGGATCTTGAGCCCCCACCCCCTCCTACTCTTCCAAAATTAGATTCGGAGAGATCCTTGGGCAGATTGTAGCCCAAAGAGGGGTTTGGTAGAAAATCGGGAGCGGAAGAGATGGAATTCTGGAATTCCCCGACAGGGAAGTATTCAGGTTTTGTATCCATCTGCTGGAGAAGACTGCAAGGAGATCCGGTCCGTAAATTCTAAAGAAAATCAACCCTGATTGTTGTTTGGAAAGCCAGATAGTGAAGCTGTAGCTCTTCTCTTTTTAACAAGGGATTGAACAATCATTTTGTCTGAAATGGAGTAGGGTTTCCTGCTTGAGTAGGGGGTTGGATTAGAAAACCTCCAAAGTCCCTTCCAACTCTTGTTAACTCTGAAGCTCAAATACTTTGGCCGCCAAATGAGAAGGACTCTGTGAAAAAGACCTTGATGTTGGGAAAGGCAGAGTATGAAATAGCAATAGCACTTAAGACTTATATACCGCTTTATAGTGCTTTACAGCCTCTCTCTAAGCGGTTTTACAGAGTCAGCACATTGCCCCCGACAATTTTGGGTCCTCATCTTACCCACCTCGGAAAGGATGGAAGGCTGAGTCAACTGGTAAAATTTGAACTGCCAAATTGCAGGCAGCCGGCAGTCAGCAGAAGTAGCCTGCAGTACTGCCCTCTAACCACTGCGCCACCGCGGCTCATTGAATGATTAGATAATGTCATCAATGCAATGAACAAGAATTTGGACAAAAGTGTCCAGAAGACACTGGAGGACATGGAGGGTGGGGCGTAGCGGGCTATGGTCAACGAGGTCACAAAGTTGAAAGTGGTGTAGCAACTGAACAACCTCAAATTCATCCCATGCAGAGGCTTAGCTCAACAATGCTCGTCCTCTTTAGCGTGGTAAGAATTCTTTCAGGGCGGAGCCACAGGGACAGGACTTGAAGCAGATCCGGATCAAGTAACAACTGGCTGAAGAGTGGAATGACCTCTGTTTCTCCAATCTTGGGTATAATGGGAGACGAGGGAAGGAAGGCAACAATGGCTTTTGATGCTAGTGGTGATCGACGATGAAGGGCTGAGCTATAAAACGAGTCCATTTGCGCTTGGAAACCAGTTGTCCCTTTCTCTGGTTTTGAAGGCACTTAGTGGCAACGAAGCTGGAGAGAGAGAGAGAGACAGTCCCCTCTTTTCTGCACCTCTCCTCGTGCACTGGCCGCCATGGGGTCCTCAATCCATGGGCCGGAGGAGGGGGAGCGAGCCAGGGGATGCCAGCGTTAGGGGTCCACAAAGGAAACCATGATGTAGCGAGTGCCCCAAGTGGTGGGCAGACCTTCGTGGTAGTGGGTGAGACGTCCTGGGTGGATCAGGCTCCAGCCCTTGCGGGGAGATTCCACTTTGCAATTGTAGCGGATAAATCGGCATCCGCCTCCCTATTGGGGCAAAGAGAACCATTTTAGACAGACAAGAGACCAAGTTCAAATGATCATACTGTCAAATTTTGAGGTTGTCTCAAATAAATTGCATTTCAAACAAAGTCTTTGAAGAAAAACTCTAAGCACGACATTCTAAACCAGGCTCCAATCGAAGCCAACACTGACTTCCAGCCCCAAAACCCTCCCTTTCCGTTCCCCACTCCCCTGCTCTCATTGGCCATCTTCCAAGTCATTCTACCCCTAATCTACTCCAGCTCAAAGGAATTTCCCCCCTCCCATCCCATCTCCTAAGGGATATTATCTCCAGGGAAAATAAGTAGGTGAAAAATCAAACGTCCCTTTCCAGACGCCTTCGCTTCTCCTTCTTATGTTAGCACTAGAGTAAATGCAGCTTGAAGTGCTGACACATACGTTTATAGCAGTGTTCTGATCTAGGCTCCCTTAACAAGCAGGAGGCAGGAATCACTGGCAAAACCAAAATTTACACAACTGTGAATTACATTCATTCACAGTCAGCAAGATTTGTCCCAACAGTTTTTCAAAGGAATATTTCTCAAAACACCTTATCTCATTTGGCAAGCTGCCACATAACTTGTTTCCAACTGCAGTACAAGGCAAAACTTGGAACAGAGTCTCTCAGAGTCATGGAATGAACAAATTGTTTCCTGCAAAAGGCCACTCCCTGTTTGCTCCTCTTTTATTTCCTATGGGAGGGGCCAATCACCTCCAAGGTGTGGCTTTACTTCTGAGTTGACCCTGCTTTCTGTGTTGTTCTTGTCTTCTAGCAGCTCTGTGCATGTGCGCACTGGGAACTAGTTCCAGCTGTTCCTCACTTGCCGACTCTGCTGCCAGGTCCGCCAGCGGGCCACAACAAGGAGTGTCAAACTCGATTTCATTGAGGGCCACATCAGGGTTGTGTTTGACCTTGGGGGGGTCTGGGGTAGGTTTGGCCAGTTTGATGTCACTTGTGTCGTGGGCTCCTTTGATAGCCCGAGAACTCTGCCAGCGAAAATGGGCTCCCCGAGCTCTATTTCTGGCTGCGATGGCCTCCTGCAACCCTCTGCCAGCGAAAACAGAGCCAGGAGAGCCGCACACAGCCAGCAGAGGTAGCAGCAGAGTCAGACAGTGAGGAGGTTGGGGAGGAAGATGGGCCAGTCCTAGGGGCTGGGGAAAGCTCGGACGAGGGCTCTGCGTCGGAGGCAAAGAGGGAAATAGACAGCAGTGAAGCAGAGGAACAGCTGCAGCCCGTTCCCAGTGTGCACATGCTCAGAGCTGCCAGAAGACAACAACAACTAAGAAAGCAGGGTCGACTTGGGGGTAAAGCCACACCTTGCAGATGATTGGCCCCTCCCATAGGAAACAAAAGAGGAGCGAATGGGGAGGGGGCTTTTGCAGGAAACAATTCGTTCGTTTGGTAGTTTCAAGAGTGAAAAGTTCTGTTTGTGGCTCTAAGAGACTCTGTGCCAAGTTTTGCCTTACTCTGCGTTCGGAAACGAGTTACGTGGCAGCTTGCCAAGCGAGATAAGGTGTGTTAAGAAATATTCCTTTGAAAAACTGTTTGGACAAAGCTTGCTGACTGTGAATGAACGTAATTCACAGTCGTGTAAATAAAAGAGGTTTGGCCGGGATCAATTCCTGCTTCCTGCTTTTTAAGGGAGCCTAAGTCAGAACAGGGTGGCCCCTCAGGCGAGATCTAAGCAACCCCACGGGCCAGATCCAGCCCCCCGGGCCTTGAGTTTGACACCCCTGGTTTATAGGCATTATGCAAAGACAGGCCCTCTTCAGAGGTCTATCGTGCTGGGAAAAATGGAAGGAAAGGGAAGAAGACAATCGGCAGCAAGGTAGATGAATGCAATGGCCTTGGGTGCACCATTGGACGACCTGAAGGATCAGGTTAGAGTGACCATCTTGGAGAAGGTCTATCTCTGTAGTTGTTAAAGAATCAACACTGACCACATGACCCATTATGCATCCATCAGGCAAATATAAACTTATGAATGAAGGCAGATATAGGTGTCCCAGGATAATGTTGCAGGATCCAATCTGCAATCCACATCACAACGAACGAGGACGTACCGTATTTTTCGGCGTATAAGACGCACCTTTCCCCCCCCAAAAGGAAGTGAAAACTTAGGTGCATCTTATAAACCGAATGTAGCGCCGCCCACTCACTGGCCCTCACCCTTTGGCCTCTGCCTCCCAGCAATTTACCTCCTTGCAGCAAGCAGCAAGGAGAAACAGCCCATTTCAGCTTCAGCACAGCCTAATTAGCACAAGTTGATTGTCCGTTGGATCGGCCTCCCGACTCTCAGCTGTTTCAGGCTGCAGGCCATTGCCTATTGCTGCATGGGCCTCTGCTGCTTGCTGCAAAAAGGTAAATTGCTGGGAGCAGATTTTTTTTTCTTGTGCTAATCAAGCTATGCTGAAAACGAAAATGAAAGTAAAGCAGGCTATTTGCTGTTTGCTGCAATGAGGCAAAATTGCTGGGAGGCAGAGGCAGATTTCTTTTTCTTGTTTTCCTCACCAAAAAAGGTAGGTGTGTCTTATAGTCCGGAGCATCTTATACTCCGAAAAATACGGTACATTCAATTTTTGCAGCTACTAAGATTTTCAGACGAGCAGGCACAAAAACAGCCAGGGAAATGATTGAAGCCTGGGAAACTTCAGTCAACAGGAGGACTGATTTACCACCAGCTTTTCAAGTACTTAGGACGGGAGGGCTTGGTAGTACAAGCAAACAACAGCCAATGACTTAATAGCTAGCCATCACACACAACGGGCACCATTTGAGCACACACAACTGTTGTGGTCCGCCAGCAGCCTGCGGAGCTGGTAGTGGAGTTGGACAGTAAGGAGGCTGGGGAGGAACATTGGCCAGTCTTTGAGTCTGGGAAAGGCCCCGACGAGGGCTCTGCGTCGGAGGCAGAGATGGGGCCAGGGCCATCTGGGAGTGATGCGCGGACTCTGGAGCCCCCAGAGTCACACAGCAGAGAGGCAGAGGAACAGGAGGAGCCTGTTCCTAGTGCACTCATGCGCAGAGCTGCCAGAAGGCAAACAGGCCGTTTCCGGCCTCCGGTGGGCCTCCGGGGGGAAGGCTGTTTTCGCCCTCCCCAGACTCCTAGAAAGGCTCTGGAGCCTGGTGAGAGAGAAAAACAGGCCTACCGGGCCATTGTGTGCCAGGAGTGGGCGTTGCGGGGGAGGGGTCGCTGCGCATGCACGGGGGCATGGCACATAGAATTATGGTGTGGAAACACGTGCACAATCCCCCCCCCACTCCTGGCACATGATGGCAAAAAGGTTAGCCATCACTGCCCTAAGTCCTATCCTCATTCTCTTCACAGCCCCAAAGCATTCAAGACCAAGCCATGCACAGGGAAGCTCCAGCACTTCACGCAGGACACCTGCCCTCCAAAGGCACTCACCTTGTAATCTATCCCTTTGTGGTTAAGAGCAACATTGATGGTGAAAGTGGAAGAATCATGATGGGGGCGAAGAGAAGGCTGCTCGTCCGGACGGTATCGGACCATGAAGTTCATGATTGCGCGAGCCTGAGAACGGGAGATTGGGTGAAGGCAGGGTGGAGAATGGCACATTGTGTACATACCTGTTCTGACCCAGCTCCCCAAACACGACAAACCCTCTGAAATCAACTCAAAGATTCCTTTATTAGGAGCGCCAGCAGCCCCGGAAAAAAGTTTGTCTTTCACCGCAGGCTAACAAATCCATCCGTCCAGGAGATGAATAATTGTCTGCTACATCTATTCATCTCCACCCGCTCACCAGAGGTAGGGTGGGGCTTTGCTAGCAGTGGTGGCTCTTCCATCCCAAGGATCGGCCCACGGATTTCCACTGCTCTCCTCTCCTCTGCCTTCTGCGCATCCACGCGTCAGGCACTGGACCCAGCTGTTCCTCCTATTCCTCATCAGCAACCTCCAGACCTGGGGGGTTATTGACTTTCTATCTGAGGGCTGAGGGACAGCCCTGGCTCCACCTCTGTCTCTGTCTCTGTCTCTGTCTCTGTCTCTGTCTCTCTCTCATTGCTAGCTGCATTCCTTCTCCCCCCTCAGAGCTCTCAGGTTGCCTCAATGCTGACTCTGACTCCCACACCTCCTCCTCCTCTGATTTGGCTGCAGGTGGCCAACAGGCCAAAACACCACCTGCCTAAAATGGGGCACTCATATTCACTGCAGGTACAACTCGCCCAGGTTGTGTTCTTGCCACTGCAGATCTCAAGAATCTAAGTGGACAGCAAAGAATAGATGGCAGGCTGACCTTGAAAAAAAGTTAAGCAGGGTTAGATCTGGTCAGTCCTTGGGAGAGAGACAAGGCTGTAAACTGGACTGGGCAGTGAAAAAAAAAATCCATATTCTTTATATGAAAATTTGAATGGTACCGTGTCCTTTCCCGGAACTGAATCTATTTATTTATTTCATGCATACACACACTGTTATCTCTATTTCTTAAAGAACCCTTCCAACATTGGTGGACGTTATTAACAGGGGGTTTGGCACTTCCCCCCCTTTGCAATAAACAAATTTTATGAAAAGGCACCTGTATATCTGACGAAATGAACTGCAGCCCACCAAAAAACGTATGCTTTTTAATGAAGTGTGTTCATTATGGGAAACTGAGGTTTCCCATAAGACATCCCCAGGGGTGGGCTCCTGGGGGTTCGGCAGGGTTCGGGTGATCCTCTAGCCAAGGATTGCTGGGGTTCGGCGAACCCCCAAATGCCACCCCTGGCTGGCCCCTCCCACCCAGACCAGCCACTCCCACTCCACCGTAAATCTAGCTGCTAAATTTGAATCTGACTAGGGATGATTGCACAGATGATCTTCAGGTTACGACTCCTTGTTCAGCAATCCGTCAACCATGGGATAACCTGGAATGAGAGGAACTTACAACCAGTCCTCAGAATTCCAGCTTTGGAGTGATCCCGTGATTGCAATTTCTGATGTTCCCTACCGGCTTCTCATAAGCAAAGTCAATGGGGAAGCCAGCAGGAACTCAAAAGTGGCAGTCACATAAGATCCTCAACCTCCCCAGTAATCCTCACTTAATGGCAACAACTGGGATTGTCGGAAGCAGCGTCACTAAGTGACACAATCACATGACAAATGGTGAGGGGGACAAAAGCCACTATTGCAGCCCCAATTACTTTGTAGAAATGGCAAAAGACATCCTGTAGGATCCTCTGCTTCCTGTACCTACACTCGGCCCCCAGTAACCTTGAGACACGGTGCTGTTACCTTGGTGTGGTAGCCTGGATAGAACTTTTCTGTGACCGGTGCAATGTAGTCCTGCAAGAACTGCAGCCACTCCTTCTCAAAGCCGATTTGGTTCATGTGAATGTCAACGGTGGGGACGTTCTCGTAGCCGCCAACCAGCCGAGTGTCCTAGAAGGGAGGCGCAGAATGGAAGGAATTGTGATAGGTTGTGAAAATAAACTTGAGAGACAGAAGGAAGAGCCGTAGCCTAGACCAGGGTGTTCCTCCTTCCCCATATCATTCTCCATTTTATACACCTTGTCCATAGGATGAAAAGGGACAAAAATGATCATGGCCAGGACTATGTGTGTGAAGCACAACTCTTGTTTTACATCCAACACACGTGAAAAAGTAGTCACCATCTTGATTTCTTTTGACCTTTCTGTGAACTGCCTCACTCCTCAATTATGCCTTGTTCTAATGTTCAGGGATCCAACTGTTTTTGTTCTAAGGTGGTTGAGGTCCCTCATCATTCTGCAAGCCTTCTTTGACCCTCTTCCAAACTCTCCTCAATCCTCTTCCAAATGAAGCAATCTGAATGATCATCTTGGTGAAGGAAAAAGGCTAGGATGGTCCCAACAGTGGTAGGATTCAAATAATTTAACACAGGTTCTCTGCCCTAATGACCAGCTGGATAGGCGTGGCTGGGTGGCCATGTGACTGGGTGAGTGTGACATTCAGCAAGCCTTGCTGAATGTCACTCATCTTGGTTCCTTGTCATTAAAAGCTTCTTTCTGGCAGCTCTGCTTCATTATTCAATTATTTCTTTAAGCGCTGATTGTTGTATCCCGGCTGGAAGAACTCCAACAGGGAAGTATTTCCTCCCAACAACCCTTCCCCTTTAAGAAAGTCAAGCCCTTAATAAAGTAAAACAAAATACCAGCAAAGAAAAAAAAACTCTAGAGCAGCTCAGGTGACAGTAAGTCTGGGTGTACTGCCAAGAACCTTTAACTGTTACAATGTAATAAGGGTTAACCGGAGAGGCAGTTTCTGTAAGCAGGGCAATAAAGATTAGGCTAGAAATAACACCAGAATGTTTCCTTCCTGCCTTCCTTACAGGATTAGCCCTGTAAAGTGGAAAAAACCAAAAGGTGATTTCTTCCAACAACCGGCTCTCCGAACTGCTCAGAAAGTTAACAAACGGTTCTCCCGAATAGGTGCGAACTGGTTGAATCCACTACTGGGTCCCACCTCATGTTTTCCTCCAGACCACCGGCCAAAGTGTTCCGCCTCTTCCACCAGATCGTCGCACATCTGATCAGTGAACACTGGAAACCAGTAAACATCAGGGCAAGGCTGCCAATGGGAAGAAGAAACAGTGAGCCCAGGAAGTTTTGAGAGAGTGAATTCAGCAATTCAAGAGGACCAGGGAAAAGAGAAACAGTCACCTGTTCAAAAAATTCTCCCTCAAGAACGCGCGAGTAGTTCTCGTGGATATATTTCTCCTGCCAGTCCTGTCCAGAAAGAAAAAGGACAAACTAAAAACAGAGTCATGTAGAGTTATCAGAATACTCAAGAAGTGCATCCCCTAATCAGTGATGGGTTTTACATATTCTTACCACTGGTTGACCCCGTTCGCACATGCTTGCTTCACGCGGGCCTTCCGCGCATGCACCCGGCCTTCCATGAATGTGCCTGGCCTCAAAAACGTGGCTAAATAGGATGTCTTTACGCCAGGGCGGGTGAGCAGGCCCACCCACGATCTCTGCTACTGGTTCGCCTGAACCGGTACAAACTGGATGAATACCACCACTGCTCCTAATCTAATGCATGTCAGTCAATCCAGTCCTGGACTAAACATTTCATTTCTGCAAAACTTGCCATCTTATCTCCGCCTTCCTCAAACACTTTCTGATATTCTGAAACTACAATTCCCAGAATTCTCAGAGGGCGTTGGACATTGTGGGAAGCTCAAGAGACAGCTACCGAAGGAGTACATCTGGATTTCCTGTAATGCCATGGAAATCGCAAGGGTAGTTCCATGAGCATATAATTTCTCACCCCTCCAGAGAAGTCCTCCCTATGATGTCTCCCTTGGACAACTCCTCCGACTCTTCCTCAGAGGCCAGCTTGAAGGAGAATGATCTCATTCCTGGCACATCAGGAACCGAGTTAATTACTGACTCTGAATGGCCAGCAGAAAAAGAATTACAGGCTTCAGCTGGGGACAGCTTGCAGGCCAGTGAAGAGGAGAGGGAGGGGCTGCCTGCCCTGGTGGAAGTTAGAGCACGCATGGCAGAGGAATGGAGGTCTGCCAGATTGCTCGGGAGAAGGCCCTGCCCCTCTTGATGGGCTCCATTGGGAAGCTATTTAGCACGGGAGACCGAGGGAGGCATTGCTGGGGACAACATGCATGGGTCGTAGCTGTGTTGGTTCATCTTTCCTGCTTGAGACTTTTGAGACTCTGAATTTCTAAAACCCATGAGCTAACGTGGATGGACTTTCGGTTTTTGCCCGGAGGCTTTGTGTCCATTTATGGGACTTACTTGTTTGACCAGCTTGCTATTTGTTTTATGGACTAGTTGGCCATTGCCTGAAGGATTAATCTGGGCTTGTTTGTGGTTGGCTTCGTTTGGAATAGTTCTGAAGCCAGGTGTAGAGAACTGCTGGGGAATACCAATAAAACTTTCCGCGTGTAAATCATACCGGCGTGTATGTGTGAGGGAGTTGGGCAGCACACTCTGGGATCTAGGCGCAGGGGTGGATGTATTAGATTGAGAGAAAAGGACCCCATCCTGTGCAACTGGGCGCACTCACCAAAGGATTTTCAGAAATCTGCCAGAGTTCAGGATGTAGGCGGGAGATGTTGTATCTCGTGGTGGAAAGGAGGCGTCCAAAATCATCCCGGTTACTAATATGGAGAAAGATGCCCTGTAAAGGATAGGAGGAGCCATATATAGGCCAAATTTGCACGACTTTGGGATCCCAAGAGCCCACACGCCAGGGGATACCAAAAAATGTTAAATATAAATTATAAATTATTATAAATTATAACTATGAATATAAATATAAATATAAATATAAATATAAATATAAATATAAATATAAATATACACAGGCATCTTTCATGCATGTCCTGTGCTTCTTCTGCAGAGTTTTAAAACAAAATTCTAGAGAAGCTTTTCTCAACTTTGATAACTTTTAGAAGTCCGGACTTTAAGGTTGGTTGAGGAATTCTGGGAGTTGAAGTTCAGACATCTTAAAAGTCATCAAAGTTAACAAACATCACTTCAGAGTGTATTTTGGTCTAGAGGAAATTTCTACTCCTTAAGAATACGTCGAAACGGTACCTGGGGAAAGTAAAGGTACCATATTTTTCAGAGTATAAGACGCACCTTTTTCCCCCGTAAAAGGGGGTGAAAATTTAGGTGCGTCTTATACACCGAGTATAGCCCCGCCCACCCACTGGCCCCCCACCCTTTGGCTTCTGCCTCGCAGCAGTTACCTCCTTGCAAGCAAACAGCAAGAAAAAACAGCTCCTTTCAGCTTCAGCACATCCTAATTAGCACAAGTTGATTGGATCGGCCTCCCGACTCTCAGCTGATTTGCTCTCAGCTGTTTTGCGCAGGGCTCTGCTGCTTGCTGCAAAGAGGTAAATTGCTAGAGCAGATTTTTTTCCCTTGTGCTAATCAAGCTATGCTGAAAACAAAAATGAAAGTAAAGCAGGCTGTTTGCTATTTGCTGCAACGAGGCAAAATTGCTCAAAGGCAGATACAGAGGGAGATTTCTTTTTCTTCTTTTCCTCACCAAAAAAGATAGGTGTGTCTTATACTCTGGTGCGTCTTATACTCCGAAAAATATGGTAAATTGTTTATAAAACTACCCAAGCTACAGATAGTTCTTGTTTTAACAATAGTAATTGGGAGCAGAGGTTCTACTGCTAAGCAATGCAGTCATAAAGTGAGACATCACATGACCACATCTCTTAGTGACGGCAATCCCATCAGTCGCTCTTGCCATTGTTAAGCAAGGATCGTGGATGGTTAAGCAAGGACCTCCTTAGGGGTGGGCTTCAAAAATTTTAGCAAGGGGTTCTCTGCCAGGTTGCTAGGTGGGCGTGGCCATGTTGGGCGTGGTCTAGTCAGCCTCCTGCACCACAGCGGAGGTGTGTGTTTTTGCCCTCCCCAGGCTCTGGAGGCCTTTCTCGAACCTCCCAGAGGGCAAAAACGGCCTCCTCAGGCTCCGGAGGCCCTCTGGAGGCCAGAAACAGGCCCATTTGCAGCCTTCCCGAACTTCCGGTAGGCCCACTTTTCAACCTCCCCGAGCCTCCACACGCACCCTGCACTTACGTGCATCCAAAACGGTCTGCGTGGGAACTCCTGGGAGGGGAGGGGTAGGCGGAGCCAGCCACGAGTGGAATTTGGAGGTTTCTCTGAACTGTACAGAATCTTAGCTAGAGGTTCTCCCGAACCCCTGCGAACCCCCAGCAGCCCATCTTTAGACCTCCTTGCAATGGGGAAGCCAGCAGGAAGTCGCATGTCCCAGACAGGCTCACAAACAGACCAGTAGACAGGTAAGTGGTTGTTGCAGTGCAGTGCAAGTGTGGCAGCGCTAGGGGAGGCTGTTGTCAGGTGAGGAGGGTGGTACTGTAGGCTCCAGGCTCCTTGGAAGAAAAAGAGGTAAAATTGCAAGCAATTTACTGGAGAGACCTGCTGGCTTCCCCAATGACTTTGTGTGAAGTCAGCAGGGCAGGTCATGAATGGTGATCACATGATCAGGGCACACTGCAACCACTGTTAGAGTTGATTATCAAATGTCCAGATTGTTTCCTGAAGTTTGAAGGTCTGTCGAAACTACATGTAGTCCTTGACTTACCACCACAATTGAGCCCAAAATGCTAAGCAACGCACACGTTGAGTGACTTTCGCCCCATTTTACGACCTTTCTCGCCACGGTGGTTTAGTGAATCACTACAGTTGTTAAGTTAGTCACGCGGTGGTTAAGTGAATCTGGCTTCCCTGTTGACTTTGCTTGTCAGAAGGTCGCAAAAGGGGATCACATGACCCCAGGACACTGCAACCCGTCATCAATATGAACCAAGTTTTTATTTATTTTATTTTTATTAGTCATATTTCTATGCCGCTCACTCTCCGAGGACTCTGAGTGGCTTACACCAAAGACAATATGCTAAATAGCATATTTCCCCCTAACAATCTGGGTCCTCATTTTACCCACCTCGGAAGGATGGAAGGCTGAGTCAACCTTGAGCTGGTGAGATTTGATCCGCTGATCTGCTGAACTAGCAGTCAGCTGAAGTAGCTGCAGTACTGCACTCTAACCACTGTGCCACCTCGGCTCTTTTTGCCGAGTGTTCGAAATTTGATCGTGTGCAACGGTTTTGTAAGTATGAAAAACCTAAGTTATTTTTTTCAGCGCCATTGTAACGTCAAACGGTTACTCAACAAGCCGTCATAAGTTGAAGACTACCGCATTTAGGACCCTCCCAACTTTGAACGTTTGCTGAAAACAATGGTTCTCAACTGAAGACCTTTGTAATACCGTGTTTTCCCGAAAATAAGACCTGTCTTATATTTTTTTGAACCCTGAAATGAGCACTTGGCCTTATTTTGGGGGAGGTCTTCTTATTTTGGGGCTCGTGGAGCAAGACGGGGCTCCTCTTGCTGTCTTACCTGATTTCCAGCTCTGTGTTTAAATACTTTTGGGGAGGGCTTATTTTCCAGGGGGAGGCTTATTTTAGCGCATGCGCTCAAAAGCCCGATTGGGCTTATTATCAGGGGATGTCTTATTTTTGGGGAAACAGGGTACACTTATATTATCAATATAAAATTCGAAAAACAATTTTTTTTAAAAGAACTTCGTTCTTTCGGAGGAGCAGGTTGTAAGAAAGCAATAACGCTCACCTTCTCCCGCACACTTTTACAAAAGGCCATGTCCGGATCCGTGTCCTCCAAGGTGAAAATATTGCGTTGGGGCAACTCCTGCCTTAAGATCTCCCCTTTCAACAGGTAGGCCTGAGAGATATAGGGCACGTTCCACACCCCACTGCAATAGGGAAAAAAGCATCATGAGAATCCGCAGTACAATAAACAAGGTTTGGATTATGCCAAGGAGTATTCAGTCCAAAATTCCAGATGCAACACGGCTTCTTGGAAGATCGGAGGGAGGTAGATTGATGGAAGCCATCTCCTTCTGTTGCCTCTGAAGAAAATTAAGAATATAAGAGGAGAGGAGAGGGGAGGGGAAAGGTGGGGGGGAAGGGAGGGGAGGAGAGGAGAAGAGAGGGGAGGAGAGGAGGGGAGGGAAGGGAGGAGAGAAGGGAAGGGAAGGGAAGGGAGGAGAGGATTTGATGGAATGAGATAAGATGATAAGATAAGATAATGAGAGACGATAAGATGATAGATAAGATAAGATAAGATAAGATAAGATAACTTTATTGTCATTTTTTTACTGTGAGCACATTGGCTCACATTAAAAATGAAATTCTGTTGCATGCTCTCAAGAGAAAGTGTATATCTACCCAAACACATATGTAACGCACATATATATCAGTGGTGGGCTGCCCCCAGTTCGGTCCGGTTCTATAGAACTAGTAGTAAAACCGGCGGGAGGCTCCACCCACCCGCCACGAAGTCATCATGGGTGATCTGCAAATGCGCAGAAGCGCAAGCGCGCACGCGCTCCCATTGCGAACCGGTAGTAAAGGTAAGTAGAACCCACCCCTGATATATATACACATGCTACATACATACAATATGCTGACTCTGTAAACCGCTTAGAGAGGGCTGTAAAACACTGTGAAGCGGTATATAAGTCTAAGTGCTATTGCTATCTGTTCTGACCTAGGCTTCCCCAAAAATCACAAAGCAGAATCCTGGTCCCGACAAAAACCCCTTTTTATTAAACAAACAGTGAATTCCTCCCATTCACCTTCACCAAAGTCTTTCAAGGGAGAATTTACAGGCACAGACCTTATCTGGCTTGGAGAGCTGCCAGGCTGACATCTTCAAAACTTGGCAAAGAGTTTCGGAGAGTCACGAACCAATTAGGCGAACTAATTGTCTCCCGCAAACTCCACTCCCCTTTCGCTCCTCTTTTATTCCCTCTGGGAGGGGCTATTCATCATCCACCTGTGGCCTTACTCCCAAGCTGACCCTTGTTCTTTGGCTGTTCCCTTCATCTGGCAACTCTGTGCATGCACACACTGGGAACAGGCTCCAGCTGTTCTTCTGCCCCACTGATGTCTGACACCGAAGGCAGCTGATAACTGGCATCCGGCCCTGGCCCCATCTCTGCCTCCGATGCAGAGCCTTTCCCAGACTCCAGGACTGGCCCATGTTCCTCCCCAACCTCCTCATTGTCCGAATCTGCTGCCAGCTCTGCTGGCCGCTGGTGGGCCACAACACTATTGCTATTCTTCTCAAGCTCCAGAATTCTGCTTTAGCATAGCCTCTTTTTTTTTTTTTTCATTTTTGATTTATATGCCGCCCTTCTCCGGAGACTCAGGGCGGCTTACAATGCGCTAAGCAATAGCCTTCATTCTTTTGTATATTTATACAAAGTCAGCTTATTGCCCCCACAACTGGGTCCTCAATTTACCTACCTTAGAAAAGATGGAAGGTTGAGTCAACCTTGAGCCTTGGCGAGATTCGAACCTGCAGTAATTGCAGGCAGCTGTTCTTAATAACAGGGTGCTTTAGACCACTGTACTACCAAGGCTCTTTTAAGGATATGTGGAAAAGATGAAACAAAGAGGAATGATCAGATAAGAGACAGCATAGCCCTCACCTACATAGCGGTAGAGCAAGAGGCTCAGAAGGGACTCTCCCTAGTTTATTGGTATGTAAAGGAGACAGGGGGAGATTTCTACTTTCAGGCCTATAAGATTTTGCTAACAAGCTCTTCCACAGAGACCGTTGGAGATTTGTACTCTCAGACCTATAAGATTTTGCTAACTAGCCCTTCAACAGAGACCGTGGGAGATTTGTACTTTCAGACCTATAAGATTTTGCTAACTAGCCCTTCAACAGAGACCGTTGGAGATTTGTACTCTCAGACCTATAAGATTTTGCTAACTAGTCCTTCAACAGAAACTGTGGGAGATTTGTACTTTCAGACCTATAAGATTTTGCTAACTAGCCCTTCAACAAAGACAGTGAGAGATTTGTACTTTCAGACTTGCGAGATTCTAATAATTAGCTTCACAATAAAGCAGAATTCGGTTATCTGGACATCTTTCTTGTCTGGTCCACATGGGAAGGCTGACACATCTGGCTGACTTGTAGAAGTTTAGCACTCTGCAAAAGCCACCTTCCCACCCAACCATCCATCTGCTTAAAGTTCCCACTTACATTCTCTTGCCTTGCACCAATTCCACGTAGTCCTCTGAGCGGGCGTAATATTCATCGGGGCTCAGGGCACCCCAAAAGTTGGACCAAAGCTTGCCATATCGAGATACCATTGGAGCAATCACATACCTGGATAGTACAGAGGAGTAATATAGAAATCAGGAGCACAAAAGCCAGTGGGTGGGAGGAGAAGTGATAGGGCTTGTAGCTTGGCCGAGAGCTCGGGTGGGTGTGGAACTACTGCTTACTTGTTCTCCTGCATAAGTATTTGCAGGATTTCGGGATTTGTCACCACCACGTCAGCATCGAGGCTGAAGTAATAGTCGCAGGTGGCATCCTGTCGACACAGGTCCCTGGGATGCAAAAAAAGAAAGAGCACGAATTAGAACTGTGTTTCACAAACTCGGCAGCTTTAAGATCGGTGGACTTCAATTCCCAGAATTCCCCAGATAGCCATGCTAGCTGGGGAATTCTGGGAGTTGAAGTTCACCCATTTTTAAAATGGCCACGGTTAAGAAACACTGGATTAAAAGGTTGATCTTTTGCTGCCCATTTCTCTCCGCCAACCAAACACAGGAGACCTTGTACAGGTGGTCCTCGATTTACGACAATAATCGATCCCAAAATCTCTGTGGCTAAGTGAGACGTTTCTTACGTGAATTTTGCCCCGTTTTACAACCTTTCTTGCCACAGTTGTTAAGTGAATCACTGCAGTTGTTAAATTAATGATACGGTTGTTAAAGTGAATCTGGCTTCCCCATTGATTTTGCTTGTCAGGAAGGTCGCAAAAGAGGATCACATTGTGACCGTGATAAATATGAACCAATTGCCAAGTGTCTGAATTTTGATAATCCTGGCGTAGAGAAATATCTCAGACTTGATTTTTATCCTCAGGTTTAGGCAGATGCTCCCCACTCATGTGGCTTTCATTATGTCAGGAATACAGCCCCTTATCAAGGAGTGGTGTGATGGCCTAGAGGTGGAGCTCTCGCCTCACAATCAGGAGGCTGTGAGTTCGATCCTAGGTAGAGGCAGATATTTCTCTCTCTGGGCACAATGAGAATATATCTGCTGAACAAAACTCCGCACTGGCAACAGGAAGGGCATCTGGCCAGTAAACACTCTGCTAGCTCCATTCGGCTGCCCAGACTCCACCCTGCCAGAAATTATGGGGTCGTTAAAAGAGGAGGATGAATACAGCCAGTTATCAACATGTGTTAAATCTAGGGACTTCTGTTCGAAGCGAGTTGCCGAACTGGAGACAAAACATCTGCAGAGTCACACTTCATTGCTATGTCGTGCCTGAAATCCGGCAATAGTAAAAACTACATACTTGAAAGGTAGCGCTTAGTAGCCACAAGCAAAGCTTTCCTGGTTGAATTTCTGCCTGGCTGTGTAGGATATGATGCCAGCCCTATTGAAAATGTGCCTTGGCATCTCTGCTTTTGCTTCTGGCACCCCGTTCCCCTTCCAGACATACACATCCACCCTGTGCTTTCCTAACCATTTTAGATAGCTGAATCTGTCATTTCTTACAGGGGTGGGTTCTAAATTTTTTTCTGTGGGCGTGGCTTATTTTGTGGGCGTGGCTTGGAGGTCATGTGACTAGGTGGGCGTGGCTAGCTGGTCAGAGTCATTTCTGGAAGGTCCTCTCACTTACGACCAGTCCTCGCACTTACGACCCGACTCATTTGTTTGCTTTTAACACTGATCAGCTGTAGGATGGCCCTTTGAAGCCCCGCGGCAAGAGTTTAAACAGTTTTTTTCCCTCTAGTCATCAGCTGGGACTCAGGAGGCAGCAATAGATTGGGGGTGGGACCAAATAAAAGGTAAGAATAACATGGGAGGGTGGGGGGGAGGGCGGGGGGGGAGAACCGATTTGGTGACGTCATATCGTCACCGCTACCGGCTCGGCCGAACCGGACCGAACCGGGAGGAACCCACCACTGCACCATATGTATCCCACAGGTGCTTTGGACTTTCAGGAGGCAACTGGACTTTCTTGTTTTTACTTTCGAAGACGTTTCGTTGCTCATACAAAAAACCTTCTTCAGCTCTGACAGGATAATGGATGACGGAGAATCCCTACAGACTTTTAGCTATACAGTTTGGGAAGAGCACTCTTTGAATGGTGTGGGAGTAGGAATGGATTTCCAGAGGAAAAAAAAAAAACAGACGACAGAAACCAGGAGCACTATTCAGGTGACCCTAAGGATAGGGTTGTGCGGCGACAGCCAAAAAAGCCAATGCAATCCTAAATTGTATTAACAGAGGGATACAATCAAGATCAAGGGAGGTACTAATACCACTCTATAAAGCCTGCATCCAGTTTTGGTCACCACAATATAAAAAACTCTAGATAGAGTGCAGAGAAGAGCAACGAAGATGATTAGGGGACTGGAGGCTAAAACATGCGATGAACGGTTGCAGGAACTGGGCATGGCTAAGTCTAGTGAAGAGAAGGCCCAGGGGAGACATGATAGCAGTCTTCCAATATTTGAGGGAGTCAAGCTATTTTCCCAGGCACCGAAGGCCAGACAAGGAAAAATGGATGGGAACTGATGATGGAGAGATTCAACCTGGAAATAAGGAGAAATTTTCTGACAGTGAGAACAATCAACCAATGGAACAGAAGTTGCCTTCAGAAGTTGTGGGAGCTTCATCACTGGAAGCTTTCAAGAAGAGACTGTTATGGGAAAGGAATTACAAACTAACAATGTCCACTGTATATAAAGAAAATCAATATCAATCAAAATCAAAATCAATCAGGAGCCTGGATAGCTCAACAGACAGAGCACTGTAATTTAACACTAGTTGTCTGCAATTAAAGTAAGATCGAATCTCGCCAGGCTCAAGGTTGACTCAGCCTTCCATCCTTTCTAAGGTAGGTAAATTGAGGAACCAGTTTGTGGGGGCAATAAGCTGACTTTGTATAAATATACAAAAGTATGAAGGCTATTGCTTAACGCACTGTAAGCCGCCCTGAGTCTCCAGAGAAGGGCATATATACATACATATACATACACACACACACACACACACGTGTGTGTGTGCGTGTGTGTGCGTGTGTTTTTCTTCTAGCCAGGTTTTCCCTACGTAGCCAAGGTTTTTTTGTAGCTCCAGCTCAGTAGAATCTCATCTACTCGGTTCTGGGCTTTTTTCCTTTCTGACACCTAGCAAGCTCTAACTGCTAGGTGGGAGACCTAAATAGATCCATTTCTAGCTCGTTAGCTGTCATCAGTAGGCCACACCCATGTCTTATGTATCCTCCCTGTAAAGGTACAGTACAGTACAGGTACAGGTATCAATTTTCATTTGTTTGCTTTTAACACTGATCAGCTGTAGGACGGCCCTTTGAAGCCCCGCGGCAAGAGTTTAAACAGTTTTTTTCCCTCTAGTCATCAGCTGGGACTCGGGAGGCAGCAAATAGATTGGGGGCGGGGCCAAATAAAAGGTAAGAATAACACGGGGGGGGGGCAGGAGGGCCCAGCTCCCAAACAAAGAAAACCAGTTCAGTGACGTCATATCGTCACCGCTACTGGCTCGGCCAAACCGGGAGGAACCCACCACTGGTATATGTAGGTATAGATATGTATAATTGTATAGGAATAAGGTATATATGATTAATATTATACTATTTTTAAATAGAGCCTTGGTATTACAGGGGTTTAAGGCACCCTGTTATTAAGCTTATTAAGACCAGCTGCCTGCAATTACTGCAGGGTTCGAATCTCGCCAAGGCTCAAGGTTGACTCAGCCTTCCATCCTTTCTAAGGTAGGTGAAATGAGGACCCAGTTTGTGGGGGCAATAAGCTGACTTTGTATAAATATACAAAAGGATGAAGGCTATTGCTGAGCACATTGTAAGCCGCCCTGAGTCTTCGGAGAAGGGCGGCATATAAATCAAATTAAAAAAAAATAAAAAAAATAACGTGTAAGGAATATATTATTATATCATCATTAGTATATTATATTAATATAATATAATTATATATTATAATATATAGTTATATATTATAATATATAATATATATTATATTAACTTAAAGTGTTGGAAGATGCTTGAGACCAGTGATGTCATATCTATGTCCAATGTTTTTAATTTTTGAATTACTAATAAAAAACTTTTTAAAAATAAAAAAAAATTCAAAAAAAAAAAAGAGACTGGATTGCCATCTGTCAAAAATGGGGTAGGGGTTGCTTGGGCGGGGGGTTGGACTAGATGACCTACAAGGTCCCTTCCAACTCTGTAATCTCTATCTGACACAAATAAACCTCCAAGTGGCCTCAACGACCCTCTAAAAGGATGCAAATGACCAGCTGTCTGCAAGGAATATAAATCCTTCCATTCCTAACCATCCAGTCAGAGCTGAAGAAGCTTCTTGGATGCGAAGCGAAACGTCTTCAAAAGAAAAAAAAAAAAACAAGAAAAGTCCAGTTGTCTCCTGAAAAAGCACTTTTGGCACAACCATAACCTGAATGACTGAGAATCTCTACAGATTTACACTATTATTTACTTACATAGCCATATCTCGGGCTTCCCCCTCACTCAGATCTTCTTCCGGCCCTATTAGTTTGATGGTGTCAAAGGCCTTGCGAAGTTGATCCCATTCAGTTTGGATATGGGGCTCGTGATACACCTCCTGGCAAAATGGCAAACAGATTTATTAGTGCCCATGGGCAGCCAAGATGGAGGGGAAGCTCAGGGTTTGAGGAAAGGAGGTGTAATGGCATCCGCGAATGATTTTAGGAGACAGAAAAGAAGTGCCACAGACTTTAATGATTCGCAACCTCAGCAACTTGAAGATGTGTGGACTTCAACTCCCAGAATTCCCATATGGCTGGCTGGGGAATTCTGGGAGATGAAGTCCACATAATCTTCAAGTTGTTGAAGTTGAGAAACTAGGCCAGACAATGGTCAGATGAGAGAAGACAGTTGAGCCTGCACAACATCTCAGGAGCGTCCCTCGCTTGTTTCGAAGTGCCTTGGTGGCGCAGTGGTTAGAATGCAGGATTGCAGGATAATTCTGCCGACTACCAGCAGTTGGATTCTCGTCTTCTCAAGGTTGACTCAGCCTTCTGTCCTTTCTGAGGTGGGTAAAATGAGGACCCAGATTATTGAGGGCAATAGGCCGACTCTGTAAACCGCTTAGAGAGGGCTGTAAAGCACTGTGAAGCAGTATAGAAGTCTAAGTGCTATTGCTATTCTTCTATTGTAAATGTGAGGGATGCAAGATGTACTTTCCACCAATGCAACTGTATATTAAAACAGACCAAGTACTGCTGAGTGTGCCTTCCTGTCAGGACTACCTCGCAAGGTTGACAGGAAGGCAGCAGAAATAATAGGAGGGCTGTTAAGCCTACAAGCCCCTCCTCAATTCTCTTCCTGTTTAACCACATTACATTCCAGACAGTGGTGGGTTTCAAATTTTTTTACTACCGGTTCTGTGGGTGTGGCTTGGTGGGCATGGCATGGTTTAGTGGGCGTGACAGGGGAAGGTTACTTCAAAATCCCTATTCCCGCCCAACCCCACTAACCTGCTCTGGGAAGGAATCAAACTCCCCCTTCGTCGTTTCCCCAAATAAAATATTACTCATGAGAAAAGGCTCCCAGAAAAGCAAAGAAAAGCAAGGAAAAATCAAGCTGCTAACAAGGAACCTGCCTGATACTCATTCCATATTCCTGCCAGCTGCATAAAGGAAACTTTGTAAGAAGAAAACAACTACCGGTGCTTAGAGATAATAGAAAGTGGAAGCCGGAAGTTCGGCTCCGTTTACACGCAGGCAGAAAACTCATTCCCAAGACAGGATATTTCACAATGGAAATTGCCCAAACCTTTTTAGAAACACAAAGCCCATGTTGCACAAACCCCAAAACTACAAAAACATAGAACCATATAAGAATCCCTCCTCTTATCCAGTTTGTTGTTCAGCTGACCCAGAAACGAACTGCTGAATGTCATTTCGCTTCTGCAAGCAAAAACCTCCTTCCAGCAGCTGCTTCTTGGCTTGTCAATTTAAAGCGATGGCGTCTTTTTTTTTTTTCCCCTTCTTCTTTGCCAAGTGATCTCCTGGCTGAGAAGCGAGTCCTGATTTTTTCCTTCTAGCCAATCAGTTGGGAGGCTGCTTGGCTTCTCAATTTAAAGTGACGGTGTCTTGTTTTTTTTTTCCTGTTCTTTGTCAAGTGAGCCCTGATTTTTTTCCTTCTAGCTGATTAGCTGGGAGTCGGGAGGCAGAATAGATTGGGGGCGGGGCCAGGCAGAGGTGGTATTTACCGGTTCTCCAAACTACTCAAAATTTCCACCAGTTTGCAAGAACCGGGGAGAACCGGTAGCAACCCACCACTGATTCCAGCCAGCCAGGACTTTTCTACAAACTAGAAATATTTTATTACTTGAAATTTCATAGCACTCATTTGAATCGTTTTGTATTTTATGCTTTTGCGGACAGCCTCAATTTGCTAAGGGTAATTTTTTTTCCCTGTCCTTTTTGGAAATATGTTTCTGTACTTAATTATAAGTATGCTAAGCTTGGTTATTGTGCATTTTTAACATACTTTTTTGAGATCTTCGCAGATTTCAACTGTATAACTGGGAGAGGGGGGAAGCTAACATCTGTTGCCTATTCAACCCCCCCCCCGGGAATCCAGAGTTATAACCTCTGCAATTGATACCATGTCCAGCTGTGGATCTCATTCCAGCGACACACAACAGAAAAGCAATCGGTATCAAGGAAATTACTGAAATAAAGGAAGCCACAGAGAGGAAGTTGAGCAACCCCAGAAGTTCCCCGTAACGTAATGGCCCTCTAGATTTCTGGGAAGATCATTCTCATCGTCCCCCAGCTGAGAGGCCCATGGGCTGATGGGAGTTACAGTCTAAAGTCAAGGCGGACTGTTTATGGGCTCAACTCACGTGGTTGTGAATGAAGAGGCTGAGGTGAGAATAAGGGTAGTCCAAAGTCAGAAGACGCTGAAGAAACTGAGGCAGGAACGGTATAGGCTTTTCAATAAAGACACCCAGCAGAACTCGTGGATAGGACTCTTCCTGGCGAAGGAGGACAGAAAAAGAGATCTACGTGTCAAAACTCTCTACTCAGACCAGGGGTGTCTAACCTTGGCAACTTTAAGACTTGTGGACTTCCAACTCCCAGAATTCCTCAGCCAACATGGCTGACTGAGGAATTCTGGGAGCTGAAGTCCATAAGTCTTAAAGTTGCCAAGGTTGGACACCCCTGATGTAGATCCTTACCAAAACCCATCTGGATCAGTGGTGGGTTGCTACCGGTTCGCGCGAACCCGTAGCGGTGGCAGGAGGACCTGACCCACCTGACCAGACCTGGTCACCTGACCAGACGTCATCGAAAATGCTCTGCGCATGCACAGAAACATCTGTGCATGCGCAGAAGCGCCGTACCCTCGCAAAGCGAGCGAGCGCGCCCGTGCGCTCCCGATAGCAAACTGGTAGCGCCAGGATTTGAATCCCACTTCTGATCTGGATCATTATTCCTCCCCTACTTTCAAGCTCTACCAGGATACCCCATAGACTCACTGGTATGTCCGACAGATCCAGGAGGTCATCATCGCACACTTCGCAGCCCCCCTCGTACGTCCAGGCGTTGGGGATGTAATTCCCCAAATAATTCAGCTGTAACTGCATGGGGAGAAGGAAAAAAAGCCAGTGAAAGACCGAATGAAGCTCAGTTGCACTAATACTTCCAAAACTGGATTCTTTAGGGCTCTTAGGAAATCAGCAAGGAAGGATGTGAAATTGAGATCTTTGGAGAACAATGGTTATCAGAAGAAAGAGCAGCCTTGTTTAGCTTCCCACTCCCTGAAAAGGTGGAAACTCAATACCAACTCCTAAGTAGGCAATACACACAGCCATTTAGCAAGGAGGCTGAAGAGGTAGAAGATCTGACTCATATATTATTCGATTCCTGTTTGTATAAGGGGGCGAGGGGAGAAGTGCCTTGATCCATATAGCCCAGTGGGAGGCCTATATTAAAACAACATACCTCATGTGGGGCCAGAATCTGAAAACGACATTTAAATACAGCACAATTTCTGACTAAAATGGTCCGACGGAGATTGGTATATGTGGACCTGATTGGGGTAGATGGCAGGGATGATACAGAAATACAATTTTATGTCATCTGTGAATCTATCTTACATATTTATGTATTAATTTATTGTATTTTATCCTAGAACTATTGCATTTTACCTAAGCTCATTTTCAATGATTTGTTTAGAATTTTATTGGTAATAAGTGTTTGAACTTGTACATTGATATTGTACCCTCGGACTATCATTAAGTGTTGTACTTTATGATTCTTGATGAATGTATCTTTTCTTATATGTACACTGAGAGCATATGCACCAAGACAAATTCCTTGTGTGTCCAATCACATTTGGCCAAGAACCCTGACAAAAAACTATTCTATTCTATTCTATTTCTATTCTATTCTATTCTATTCTATTCTATTCTATTCTATTTATTCGGTAAAGGTAAAGGTTCCCCTCGCACATATGTACTAGTCATTCCCGACTCTAGGGGGACGGTGCTCATCTCCATTTCAAAGCCGAAGAGCCAGCGCTGTCCGAAGATGTCTCCGTGGTCATGTGGCCGGCATGACTAAATGCCAAAGGTGCACGGAACGCTGTTACCTTCCCACCAAAGGTAGTCCCTATTTTTTACTTGCTTTTTTACATGCTTTCAAATTGCTAGGTTGGCAGAAGCTGGGACAAGTAACAGGAGCTCACCCCATTACGCGGCACTAGGGATTCGAACCACTGAACTGCTGACCTTTCGGTCGACAAGCTCAGCGTCCTAGCCACTGAGCCACTGTGTACCTATGATATGGCTTTAGGCTAATCAGATAGATAGATAGATAGATAGATAGATAGATAGATAGATAGATAGAAAGAAAGAAAGATAGATACAATTATAGATATAATTTATAGATATAGATAGGTAGATAGATACATAGATAGATATAGATACAGATATAGATATAGATAGATATAGATAGATAGACAGACAGACAGACAGACAGACAGACAGATAGATATAGATACATAGATCTATAGATAGATATAGATAGATATAGGTGCAACCTGCTTCACAGGATCTTTGAATGGACTCAAAGTCTGGGTATAAACATTGTGCAAACGTAAATTGTAAAAGGGGACAAGTTACCTTGGTCGGTCCATTGCCGTGGATAACCACAGGAAGGGTATCGTATGCAACATTTCGGGCTCGCACCCGGGTCTGCTCAAATTTCAGCACAACCTCTTCTGTAAAACCAGGAAGAAAAAGTAAAAATGAGCCAGTTTGGAATCATGATTAAGTTGCTGGCCTAGAAACCTGGGATATTGTTATATGAGTTCTGGTCCTCCTTTAAGCACAAATTAGAACTGCAGAAAAAACAATGGCTACCAACCTGTCTTCCATTGAGGACCTGTATACTGCACGAATCAAAAAGGGCTGTGAAAATATTTACAGACCCCTCGCATCCTGGACATCAATTGTTTCAACTCCTACCCTCAAAACGATGCTATAGAGCACTGCACACCAGAACAACTAGACACAAGAACAGTTTTTCCCCCGAATGCCATCACTCTGCTAAACAAATAATTCAACACTGTCCAACTATTTACTAAGTCTGCACTACTATTAATCTTCTCATCGTTCCCACCACCCATCTCCTTCCACTTATGACTGTATGACTGTAATTTTATTGCTTGTATCCTTACGGTTTATATTGATATTGTTTCCTGATTGCTTATTTGTTCCCTATGACTATCATTAAGTGTTGTACCTTATGATTCTTGATGAACGTATCTTCACAAGACAAATTCCTTGTGTGTCCAATCACACTTGGCCAATAGACTTATATATCGCTTCACAGTGTTTTACAGCCCTCTTTAAGCCGTTTACAGAGTCAGCCTCTTGCCCCCACTCCCCCCCCCCCACGATCTGGATCCTCATTTTACTGATCTTGGAAGGATGGAAGGCTGAGTCAACCTTGAGCCTGGTGACATTCGAACTGCCAAATTGCTGGAAGCCGGCAGTCAGCAGAAGTAGCCTGCAGTACTGCATTCTAGTCACTGCGCCACCACAGCTCATATTATTGTATTATAACACGGCTCATATTACTATACCAGGGGTGGGTAAATGTGGCTCTTTTACAACCTGTGGACTTCAACTCCCAGAATTCCTGAGCCAGCCACAGGTTGTAAAAGGGCCACAGTTGCCCTCCCCTGTACTATACTATACTATACTATACTATACTATACTATACTATACTATACTACTATACTATACTATACTATACTATACTATACTATACTATACTATACTATACTATACTACGGTATTATAGCATATACGTATACTATTGCATGTACGGTATGTAATACAGCTATGCATTACATAGCTGTCCACTATGTGTGAGTTGGGCACATATGTAAATTTGTTTAATAAATAAACAGGGAACCCATGTTGATATGGAGTTGAACAAGTGGCTAGTTTGATTGTGTTTGTTGCATGTATGGTGTATATATCTTAGCTGTGTGCACTAGGGCAGGAGTCGGCAACCTTAAACACTCAAAGAGCCACAAAGGTCCTATCCGGAAGTCCCCGTTCAATTCTGGAGCCGACCGGAAGTCTGGTTCCCCCACCATAGAGTCTCCTTCTAGCGCGGCATCCTTTTTCCTCTACCTGTTCTAACTGAAAGCCCTATGAATTTTGGAGGCGACCAGCAACAGGGAACCGCAGCAGAGGGATGAAAGAGCCACATGCGGCTCCAGAGCCGCGGGTTGCTGACCTCTGCACTAAGGGTTTTAGATTCTGTAGTTACATAATTTGTGTAGTTACATAATTTGGCGGTTACATAAATTTGTTTAAAAAGTAAATAGATGGGGAAAACAGAGATAACAATTAAATAAAATGATGATGATGATGATAGAAATGGATTCATTGCGTTAATTTCTTCCTAATCTAGAAATCTGTAATCTGTAGATTCCTCTACATCTAAAAGACAGGAGTACTGTCTCACATTCTCTACGGTGACCAGTTCTGGCATTCGGAATCCACCAGGTATGTATCAAAGGAGCCTGCTGGTTATCCATAGTGGACGTTCTCCAATCCCAATTAAAGCCCTATTAAATCATAATCGCCTTAACCAGAGGTGTGTGTGGTATACATCTGTGTGCAAATGATAAAACAAGCAACAAAACACACCAACATTAACTTCACCTTTTGGTTATGTGCATTGTGATGTTGTTGGCATGTACACAAGGCTGGTGATTGCTTCAGGCCATTAGAATAGTTGCTTTGACTAAATTGTCCGGACACCCTTGATCTCCTTCATTCTGCTCTAGTTAAGTTTTCAACCCTGGTGTTTGTCAAGGTGACAAGTCTTGTATTTTGAGATCGCCAGGTCACAAAATTTCCCAAAGATCGTCTGCTCCCTTCCTGCTCCTTCAAACCTTTCTTCCTCTGCCAGACATATTTTTGCTGATTCTCCTCATTTGGAGCACCATTCACTTACCAATGGCCCCATTCAGGTTCTGGAAGATTTTGGACGTGTGATCCAAGGTGATCCCGTATTTTTCCTATAAACACAACAGGGAGGAATTAAGATCAGAGTAACCTTTCCCTTACACAATGTATTCTTATTCTCATCTTTCTACAAAACCCTCCATGGTCAAGTTACAAATCAGGCCCTTGGGAGGGACACTGTTCTGACCTAGGCTTCCCAAGAGCATGAAGCAGACTCCTTGTCTTGACAAAAACCCCTTTTTATTAAGTTACCGTGAATTCTCTCATTCACATCCAGCAAAGTCTTTCAAGGGAGAATTTACAGTCACAGACCTTATCTGGCTTATCGGCTGCCAGGCCAATATCTTCAAAACTTGGCAAAGAGTCACGAACCATTTAGGCAAACTAATCGTCTCCTGCAAACTCCACTCCCCTTTCGCTCCTCTTTTATTCCCTCTGGGAAGGGCCTTTCATCATGCACCTGTGGCCTTACTCCCAAGTCGACCCTTGTTCTTTAGCTGTTCCCTTTGTCTGGCAACTCTGCGCATGCGCAGACTGGGAACAGGCTCCATCTGTTTGTCTGCCTCACTGATGTCTGACTCTGAAGGCAGCTGATAACTGGCATCCGGCCCTGGCCCCCACTCTACCTCCGACGCAGAGCCCTCATCAGAGCCTTCCCCAGGCTCCAGGACTGACCCATGTTCCTCCCCAACCTCCTCACTGTCCAAATCTGCGGGCCACAACAGACACTGAACCGTAGTTTAGCAACATCGGACATAACATAGGAATATAAATCCTTCTATTCCCCACCATCCAGTCAGAGCTGAAGAAGCTTCTTGGTTGAGAAGCGAAACATCTTAGAAGAAAACCCAGAAAGTCCAATTGCCTCTTGAAAAAGCAGATTTGGGGCAACCATGACCTGGATGACTGAGAATCTCAGTAGACACGTAGCTTAGCAACATGATAAGAGCCTTGGTGGTGCAGCAGACTAAAGTGCTGTTAAGTAGCACCAGCTGCCTGCAATTACTGTGAGTTCAAATCTCACCAGGCTCAAGGTTGACTCAGCCTTCCATCCTTCCGAGGTAGGTAAAATGAGGACCCGGATTGTGGGGGCAATAAACTGACTTTGTGTAAAAAGAACACCGCTTGGGGGGGCCAAAAGCCCTACTAAGCAGGTATATAGAAAAGTATGAAGGCTATTGCTTAACGCATTGTAAGCCGCCCTGTGTCTCCGGAGAAGGGTGGCATATAAATCGAACCAACCAACCAATCAATCAATCAATCAATCAATAAATGGTAAGTTGTAGATCCAGACTCAGTTGTTGGTATTTTGTAAAATTCTTCCTGACTAGAGATGCTCCTTCAAAAATGGGGTGGGAAAACCTGAAATTCGGTTTAGCAACTCAGCTCATTTGTCACTATGTAACTTGATGTTTGCATCATATGTTAAGATTCTGCTGAACACGTGTTGCACTAAATCCGGGGTCACCAACCTTTCGGACCTCAGGGACCACTAAATTCATAATTTTAAATCCCGCGGACCACTAATATGATCTGCCTAATGACAGGCTGGGTGGGCGTGGCTCGGTGGTCATGTGACGGGGAAGGCGTGGCCAACTCGATGTCACTCATGTCGAGGGATGCCTCACTGACCTCTACACACCTCTCCTCTGCCAGCTACTCTTCGCCTCTCCACCCGGGCTCCTTAGAGCCCCAAGAGGAAGCAGTTGTTGGAGCTAAGCAGCCACCACGAGAAAGAGTTGGCAAAACAGTTGGCTCAGTTCAAATTGGATCTGGCCAAGAAGGAGGCTCAGCAGAAGCACCTCCCTGAGGACTAGGAGCATAGGCTTTCCAAGCAGAGGGAAGACCCACAGGAGTGCAAGAACAGGTACCGGCGCCTGGAGGCTCAATGGCTGAGATGGTCAGTCAATTCCAGGCCATGATGCAGTCCCACTGGAACAAGGCTCTCCGGCTCTTCGCTACCAGCAGCACTTCCCTCCAGCCTTCACCCAAAGCCCCGCACCAGGAGGCTGAAGCAGAATTTCTGCCCCCTACGATCTGCACAAAAAGACCCCAAAGGGGGAGACTCTCTGCAGCAACACAAACGTTCATTGCACGTATCCGGCCCAGGGGCCGTAGTTTGAGGACCCCTGATTTAGTGCAATATAAAAAATGGAAATAATTTTTCTGTGGATCACCAAAATTTTCTCACGGACCACCAGTGGTCCACGGACCACCAGCTGGTGACCGCTGTACTAAATGACATGCATTTTGGCTTTTTGGAGGTTGGTCCTGCTCCCACAACTGACTTCCAACAGATAGCCACTACTTCAGGCAAACTTCGTTAAATTAACTGGGTCAAAAGCACCAGTTTGGGGAAGACAGAAAGTCTTCAATTTACAACCGCAATGGAGCCTGAATACAACCGTTTACAACCTTTTTTTGGCGGGGGGGGCAGTTGTTAAGCAAACCCTGCAGTTGTTAAGTGAGCCAATTGTTCATTATAGACAAATGTTGCTAAAAACTAGAAGTAAATGCAATTCCCCCCCCCCAAAAAAATGCTGTTAAAATATGGTCATGTGCCTTGCAAACAGCCACTAACGTGCATAAAATCTGGTCATGTGACTGCAGGAGAAAGGAGGCATCCATTGAAACTTCTGAACTGGGTCTGGTACTTAAGACCTTTTCATCTCTAACCTCCAACATATTGAGTAGAAGAGAAAGAGTGGCTGGGAGGAGAAAGGGCCGCTCTAGGATGGAATTCATTGCCAAAGCAATACAGATCACCCTGCCCACATTCTGGTCAACTGCAGGGGATGAGCCATGTTTACAGTTGCCTTCCTGGCCAATGGGAAAGAAGAAGCTAGTGACGTCATGAAGCCTTGCCAGTAATCTGGTGTATGAGGATTCATGGGATATCCAATTCCTGCCATCTTAATTTCGAATGGTTGCTAAGCAACTGAGTTCCCTTCCCGACCTCTCTAGCAGAAATTGGATATCCCATGAGTCCCCATACACCAGATTACTGGCAAGGCTTCATGACATCACTAGCTTCTTCTTCCCCATTGGCCAGGAAGCCAATAGTAAACATGGCTCAGCCCCTGCAGTTGACCAAAATGGGGGGGGGTGATCTGTTTTGTTTCCTAGAGGGGCCTTTCCCCCCCCCAGCCACTCTTTCTCTTCTACTCAATATGCTGGAGATTAGAGATGAAAAGGAGAGAAACTGACCGGTTTTGGCTGAACTTTAAGCAAGATTGGGACAATTTTAAGCCAGCTCCATCCCTACATCAGGGGTGGGCAACTGTGGCCTTTTTACAACCTGTGGACTTCAACTCCCAGAATTCCTGAGACAGCCAAGCTGTCTCAGGAATTCTGGGAGTTGAAGTCCACAGGTTGTAAAAAGGCCACAGTTGCCCACCCCTGCCCTACATGGATGTAATAAAGGCCTCTATGGGAACAGCGCCATTGGAGAAGCGATGTCAGAATTGCATAAGCCATTTTAGCGACTGGGGAATGAAGCCCCAATATTTTTTAACAGAGGCAGACATTAACTGTATAGAAGTGACTACAAAAGCCACAAAGGGAGTTTCTGCCAGCACTCACACGCAAGGCAGGATCCAAGTAAACGCGTGTGTAAAACAGCTGGTCGTCATCATCATCCTTGTACTTCCACAGCTGGACAATGCGGTTGATCACGGGAGCATAGCCAATAAATCCTGGAAAGCAGAAATGCAAGGTGTTTTTAGGTGCTGCGTAACAGGGTAGTAGCGCTAAGGACTAGAAACTTGTAACCATTTTTTAAACTCTTAAGCAAGTGCTTACAAAATATTGCACTTCTATGTTTGGAGAAGATTGGAATTTAGCTTACAAAACTGCCGGCCGGCTGACTAACTAAATCATCAGCTGCTTTTTTAGCCATTTCGCCTGACCTAGACTTACTTGTGATCTATCAAGATGGGGATTATCCTGTCTGTGACAATTGATACACATCATTGCCTTGTTCCTTTGCTTCCTGGACTCATTGACTTCAGGAACCCTTGCCCCGCTGGACTTCTTGCTTTGAAGCCATTGTGCTAACAACCTTTTGCTGGACTAGTTGCAGCTAGACGTTGCTGGAGGTGCGTGTGTGTATGTATGTGAGTTCTTTGCTCCAGGACTTGCCATAAACGTGGGAGCCTTTGGGGGATAGTCGGAGCAATAAAGGGGCGTTTTGAACTACCAGCTGACTGTGTTGCCTCCATGCCTTGCCTCGGGTCATCACACAGAATTGAAATCCCACCACATCCGTATTGGCACAGAACTGGGTCTTTCCTTGCATGGAATTGGGAGTTGTCCTGATTCCACCCTCACCCCACGTCACCCCGAGCCCTTTACCTCCAGAGTTTAAGAAGCGCTTTCCAAAGGTGACCGGTGGGTACTTTTCAGCCAGGGACCACTCCGGCCAGCAGAAAATTTCTGCTGAGAAGACCAGGTTGCTCTTAAACTGCAGGAACTTCCAAAGAAGTTCAATGGGACTTCCAGCCAGGATCACATCATAGCTAGGGTGGAAAGGAGAAGGCACATTCTGAGTTAGTGCTTGAAATAATGGTTCCTCTCTAGAAACGATGGGAATGGTTGGGATAGGCAGATGGAGAACTCACTCTGGGCCAGCTTCAATGTATGGGCTGTGGCTTGCGGTCCACACAGGACGGACTTTGTATTAGCTGCAGTATGGTTTTTGTAGTACTGTTCCACTGGCGAACCAACATGGGTTTTCTTGTGTTTTAAATTTGCTTTTTTGGATGTATTGCTACTAATTTGCCACAATAAGCCGTAACCTTCAAGAAAAGCCTCTCTCTTAGAAACCAGGACTGGCAAGACAGCATTCAATACGTTGTAGATAAAAGTTTTGTTTTCAGCTGTTTTTGAGCCTCCGTGAGCAAAGCAAATATTCAAGCCCAACCTTGGGAAGCGCTGAGACTGTGTCTTACCCATACCCATTCTGATGTTTTCCCTTTGCAAACGTTTCTTTTATACTTTTATTCAAAATATAATGCTATTTTCTATGGCTATGCTCACACAATATTGGATTCTTTAATTCTAGTGTTGTAACTAGGGAGATGGTTAATTCTAAACCAATCTGCGTACGGCATGACTATGTGAGACAACTCAAGGGCAAACACAGTAAACAGAGGTTTGTATTTAAATAGTGGTTATATCTACAAAGAATATATACATACATGTACTTTAGTCAGACCTCAAACAAACAGCAATTACAGCAGGAAAGCACACACGGAGAGATACGCCCCAACAGGTCCTCTTCTTATTACAGGCTCTTAAAGTGATATCAGCCCAAAAACCTTGCTGACTCATTCCTAGTATTACATCATTGTAGCAACTGGTCAGCTCTTAAATCATTACCCTGACACAATCAACTTTTACTTTGAGGTTCTTTATTGTGCTTCCTATAAAAGTAAAGCCATGTTTACAGGTTCCCCTTTTTCACAGGGTGACCCCTTTTTATTAGAGTAATTGAAATTGCTTTTAAATGATCTTCGGTTGCGAGGCAGAACCTAGAGCCAGATTTGGCCAACAGGAGAACTTCACTTCGCACATGCACCACTTATGGATCCAGCCCGAGATTGATCAGCCTTACCTGTCCACAAACAAGACAATAAGATCCTCTTCATTTGCATATTTCTTCATTTCAGCCTTCAGCCATCGGACCTTCTGACCTCCGCCGACCGTCCGGGCAACATCACCTCCTTTCCAATCTTCACCGAGCCCTAAAGTCTTGGAGAAACATTAAGACAACTGTTGAGACAGATGAGGGAGGGGCTGCCACAAGGAAAGAGGGAGTCAACCTATTCTCCAAAGCACTTGAAGGCCGAAGAAGAAGCAATGGATGGAAACTAAACAAGGAGAAAACCAACCTAGAACTAAGGAGAAATTTCCTGACAGTTAAAACAATTAAGTAAGGGAACAAATTTCCTTCAGAAATTGTGGGTGCTCCCAACACTGGATATTTTTAAGGGACTGGATAACCCTTTGTCTGAAATAGTATAGGATCTCCTGCTTGAGCAAGAGGTTAGACTGGAGGACCTCCGAGGTCCCAATTCTGTTAGACAGCATTTTATTTTTTTAAAAAAAATCTTACTCTTCCAGTTTGAAATTCAGATGCTCCTGCCCAGGGACATGACAGGTTACACAACGGTTTCTCCTAAAATGCTGAATGTTCCACTCATCTACCAACCATTCTGTGCTTTGAGGTGGGCCCGGATGTTTCAGGACTACATCTCCCAGAATTCTCAGCCACTGTGGATCCTTAGGCTAGTTTTCTTTGACCTGTTCTCAGGGGTGGGCTGCTGAGGGTTTGCAGGGGTTCGGGAGAACCTTTAGCTAAGATTCTGTGCAGTTCGGAGAACCCCCAAATCCCACTCCTGGCTGGCCCTGCCCACCCTGTCCCGCCCCTCCCAGGAGTCCCCACATGGCCCGTTTTGGATGCAGATAAGTGCAGGGTGCACATGGAGGTTCTGGGAGGGCAAAAAATGGGCCTACCGGAGGTTCAGGAAGGCCGGAAACAGACCTGTTTCCAGCCTCCAGAGGGCCTCCGGAGCCTGGGGAGGCCGTTTTTGCCCTCCCAGAGGCTCAAGCAAAGCCTCCGGAGCCCGGGGAGGGCAAAAACACCCCCCCACCATGGTGCAGAAAGCTGACTAGGCCACGCCCACCCAACAACCAGGCAGAGAACCCCTTGCTAAATTTTTTGAAACCCATCCCTGCCTGTTCTCCAAAAGCTACCCTACATATTGCAAAATGGCAGCAAAAGCAGAGCTCAGATTAACCCTTCTGGTTGGCTATGTTCCCACCCCACTCCCTCCCTTTTCTTCTCCCCCCCCTCCAATAATATAGAAAGTACACACCTTGACGGTGTAGTTGAAATATTTTGTGGTTCGTAGAAAGCGCCGGTAGCCCTCTGTTGTCTCTGTGGCAGCAGTCAGGACCAAGAGCTTCCCTGCAAAACGCAGGGCAATGGAGGAATTAGACAAGGGAATTCAAAATGAGAAAACAAGAGAGGGAAATCAAAGCATTGTTTTTCAATCTATCCAGCGGTGGGTTCCACATATTCTTACTACTTGTCCGCCCTGTGCGTGCACACTTGCTTCCGCACATGCGCTTTGCTTGTGCGCGCAACTTCCATGCATGTGCCCGGCCTCAAAAACATGGCTAAATAGGATGGCATTACATCTGGGCAGGTCGCCGCTACCAGTTTCCCCGAACTGGTACAAACCGGCTGAATATCACCTCTGGATCTATCCATCTCTTCTTCTATCAAGCCCAGGAGGGCAGGTTTAGAAAAATTCCCCGAATATTTCAAATTCTTCACTGTTTAATGTGCAGGAAGCTAAAGGAAATTGTTTAATTGCTTTCTCTCCCTATCTGAAGATTTAAATTACTTGAAAAGGCTGAAGTTGAACTCAACGTGAACCGGAGAAATTCAAAAGTGCTCTTTTTCCTTTCAACCTCGTGAGGCAGATTCTTCCATCTCTGGGCTCAGATTCACCTAACATCCCGTATTTTTCCTTCCAAAAGCCGCGCTGAGTTCAGGTACACTGAGTTTGCAGAACGGGATACAGATAATCTTTGATTTACAACCAATGACCGTTTGAAGTTACAAGGGCGCGGGGGGGGGGGGGAGGAATGACTTATGGACGTTTTTCACACTTATGACCACTGCTGTGTAGAAAGTTAGCACCCACCCCTCTCCTAGAAGAATGAAATATTTTGAGAAATGTTAAAATGGCAGAATATTATGTTTCCTTGGATGAGAAAGGGAGAAACATGCTCTTAAGAGACAGAAAGCAGCCCCCACCCTCCTTAATAGTCCACAGCAGATATCAGCACTTAAGAGATAAAGAGATAGATAGCTCTATTCATAAACAAATACCCTCGCTCAGGATCCAAACAAGGACAAAGACATTAAGCCTTAATAGGAATTGCCCAACACCCTTTCAGAACATAAGCCCCTTCATTGCATCATCTCAGTTGCACCCCCTCCCCAGCAAACCTCAACCAACCTAGGAGCTCAGACAAACACTTAGGATTTGTTCTTTGCCTATAGAGCCAGCTATGATCCCCTACATGGCCCTATGGGAATCCGGCAACAGCCAATAGAATACATGTTCTTGCACAGGAACAGGAAGCTCAAGTGCAAAGAGCCCAAGAGAAGGTATAAAAACCCCTCACTCTCAACTCCATGTGGTCAGCTGCACCAGAACCACAAACCCGTGTGGTTCTGCTTCATCATTACGCCATCTTTCCAATCAGCCTCCAGCCTCCATTTTGTCTCCAGTGCCTTTCTCCCGGCTTGGAACTGAACCAGATGGATATTGCTTCCAACAGCATTTCTTCTCATGAAGCAGAACACATATGGTGCACATTTTTACAACCATTTAGATTACGAGTGGATGTTCGCCTCTGGGATGATCTAATTAGTTCCCAGCATTGTTGGTAGGCGTATAAAAAGGGAAGGGATTAAGGAGGCTTACACGCTAAACCAGTGTTTCTCAAACCTGGCTAGCTGGGGGAGTCCACCCATCTTAAAAGTTCCTAAAATGGAGAAACACTGGTCTAAGCTTTGAGCCATTTGTAAGAAATGTGGGGGGGGGGGGGGGCCCCAGCGGCCGGCGGGGCGGGCAGCAGAGTCGGACAATGAGGACGCTGGGGAGGACTATGGGCTAGTTCTGGACTCTGGGGAAGGCTCGGACGAGGGCTCTACGTTGCAGGCAGAGATGGGGTCAGGGCCATCTGGGAGTTATGTGCTGATTCTGGAACCTCCAGAGTCTGTCATCAGCGAGGCAGAGGAATAGGGGGAGCCTGCCAGAAGGCAAGAACAGTTAAGACAAAAGGGGCGACTTGGGAGGAAGGCTTGGAGATGATTGGCCCCTCCCAAAAGACATAAAGGGGGAGCAAAGGGACATGAGCCTTTGCAGGAAGCAACTTTGTTCATTCTGGTCGGTTTAAATTCTGAAGCTCCATTTTGACTCCGTGTGGCCTTGCAAAGCTAATTGCCAATTCGGTCTTTGGCAGCGTGTCAAGGGAGATAAAGGCAAGTGCTTATCAGCCTTATCCCGCAGGACTGTGGCAGACTTCTGTCGGACTCTTTACAAACTATGTGTGACTCATTACGGGCTGTGAATGAACAGAATTCACAGCCGTTGAAATAAAAAGAGGGTTTGGGGGACTAATTGTGTGCTTTTTACTGTCTCAGGAAGCCTAGGTCAGAACAAAATATGTGGTCCGAATCTTTTTTTTTTTTAATTTGATTTATATGCCGCCCTTCTCTGGAGACTCAGGGCGGCTTACAATGCGTTAAGCAATAGCCTTCATACTTTTGTATATTTATACAAAGTCAGCTTTTTGCCCCCACAAACTGGGTCCTCAATTTACCTACCTTAGAAAGGATGGAAGGCTGAGTCGACCTTGAGCCTGGTGAGATTCTAACTTACAGTAATTGCAGACAGCTGGTGTTAATCACAATGCTATCAGTCTGCTGAGCCACCAGGCCAGAATCTTCCTGTTGTTTAACCTGTTGGCTATTATTTCTTCATATATACAATGTCTGGCAGGTCAAATTGGGTTGCAAATAAATGTAGAAGTTTATAAATTTTGGGCCTCTTTTGCAAGGCGGGGGGAAGAGTTATTATTGCTGCGTTATATTTGTCAATATTCAGCCAGGGAAGATTGAATGTGTTTTGGGGTTGTTTTTGTCCTTTTAATTCACTTTATGTAATGTTCTTATCTAGAATGGTACGATGGCATAAGAGGTGGAGCTCTCACCTCACAATCAGGAGGCTGTGAGTTCGATCCTAGGTAGAGGTAGATATTTCTCTCTCTGGGCACAATGAGAATATATCTACTGAACAAAACTCCGCATTAGCAACAGGGAGGGCATCCGGCCATTAAATACTCCGTTAGCTCCATTCAGTTGCCCAGACGCCACCCCGCAAGGGATTATGGGGTCGTTAAAAGATGATGATGATGATGATGTAATGTTCTTATCTAGTTTTGTTTTTGTTCAATTCTTTTTCCTTTGGATTTTGTATTTTAATCCTTGGAATAAAATAAAAGAAAAAAAGAAAAAAGAAATGTGCGGTCCAAACTTTACTGTTGTTTAACTTGTTAACTGTTTTTTTCTCCATATATACCCGTGATGGCAAACCTGTGGCATGCGTAGCCAAATTGGTGGGCACACGAGTTCAGCTCCGGCACGTGCTGATTTTTGGGCCTTCTGGGCCCATTGGAAGTAGGGAAACAGGCTCTTTCCTGCCTCCAGAGGGCCTCGGGAGGTGCTGGAGAAGGCCTGTTTCTCTCTCTCCCCAGGCTCCAGAGCCTTTCTAGGAGCTTGGGGAGGGCGAAAACGGCCTCCCCCCTCCCCCGGAGGCCCGCTGGAGACTGGAAACGGTCAGTTTGTCAACCTCCAGTGGGACTGGAAGGCCTGTTTTTTGCTCTTCCCCAGGCTCCAGAGCCTTTCTAGGAGCTTGGGGAGGAGGGTGAATACGGCCTTCCCCCCCCCCCCCCCCCCCGGCCGGTTTTCCCCCCCCCCCGCCCCCTAGAAGACTCTGGAGCCTAGGGAGAGAGAAAAACGGGCCTACCGGGCCCACAACGCCATCGTGTGCCAGGAGCGGGAGGAGGGGGTCACGCACGTATGCATGGTGGTGGGGCACACAGAATTATGTGTGTGGACACATGTGCGTGTGACTCACCCACCCACCCCCGCGCTCCAGGCACACGATGGCAAAAAGATTAGCCATCACTGATATATACAATATATGATAGGTCCAGTATTTTACAGTATTGAATAAACAACGAACTGGATTCGCATAGACCCCTTCGGCTGACCGATTATAATAATTTCATATGACGGGTACTTGTTTTATCAACCTTTTTTTGCCCCAGAGGCAACCTTTCAAATTATGTTCAGGTCGCAGGGTATCACATATCCACAATGCGAAAAGTACAAGCCCTTCGCACAATGCAGTTCACTGTCCATCTTCACAATCTGCCTCTTATGTAATTTACAATAACAACAATGTACCAGGTTGGCAGCTTAGCAGAGGCATGCAAAAAACTCCCACCAGTGTGAGTGTACGTACGCTTTTACATAATCTGTAATTCTTTTTTAAGGGGGAAAGAAAAGTTTATTTTTTTTCCCCAATCACAATCACTCATTGGGATCCTAGCTTACCAGAGAACGCCAGGTGAGAACGGTTGTGCTAGACCAGGGGTGTCAAACTCAAAGGCTCAGATCCAGGCCATGGGGTGCTTAGATCTGGCCCGCTGGACCGCCCTGGAAGTAGCAAAGGATCCCCCCCTCCTCCCTGAGCTCTGTTTTCACTGGTGCAGGGCTATCAAAACAAGCTAAAAACAAAACAAAAGGAGAAATCTTTCCCCTTTGGCATTTGAGGATGCAAGAAGGGACAGGAAAGGAGAAAGGAAAGAGGAAAGACAAAAAGAAGGAGAGAGAGCAAGGAAGGAAAAAAGAAGAAAAGAGGCGAAGGAAGTAGAAAGGAGAATGAAGAGGGAAGGGAAGGGAAGGGAAGGGAAGGGAAGGGAAGGGAAGGGAAGAGAAGAGAAGAGAAGAGAAGAGAAGAGAAGAGAAGAGAAGAGAAGGAGGGAGAGAGGAAGGAAGTGTTTTGCCCCAGCTATGGATCCCAAAGAACGCAGCACACACAAAGTCCGTTCAAACCTTGGTTTACTAAATAAATCAGTCTTTTACAACAATGGTTGTTAATTAATTGCATTAACAGCCACCAAGAATTCAAAGAATAATAACTGAAAGCTTACTATAGTTGACAGAATGCCCAGAAGCAATTTGCAGGAAGCTGATAAGATAAGCAAGACAAGACATGAGGGTATGTGAATGAAGTTGTTCCCTGCAAATTGCTTCAGTCGGCGTTCCTCCTTAAATAGACTAAGAAAATGGCCAATTAGCCCCAAGCCCTATTCTCGAGG